CATGGTGGAAATTGTGATGAAAAATGACTACTTTGAAGAAAATATGTAACTATCACAGATAGGTTCTTCAAATTTAAAGAAACTTCAAATCTAAGGAAACATCATTTTGGACATAATTATCTCCCATCTTGAATCTAACTTCAGAAGACAAAACACTGCAGTTTGAGGAGTTTACAAAGGAACTACAAGTGCCAAGTTTAGTAACCTAATAATAGTAAAAAGCAGACTAAATTATTAATCTAGTAAGTCTTCACATAACTTTTACAAAATACAGTTTCAGAGTAAATGTAACCTTCTCCCTTGATCATTACACCCTTTTTAGTGTTTACCAAACACTAGAACTATCAACATGCAAAGTTCTCCTGCCTTTTTGCCTTTGCCCATGACACATACACAAAGTGAAGTTTAAAGAAAAGTGATTTCAGATCCTCAAACCAGGACCGCTCATTCTCTCGCAACACCCCTTCTGTTCATGACTTACTTGGATGACTGCTTCCATAGTTATACTGCTTTTCTTGCTTTTTTCTTGCTACCGAATTAAGTTTTCTCTGGAAAGCCTTGAAAGAGAAAAGATTAGGAGCAGTTTGTAAGCTCTGTTATCGAACATGCTATTAGTCTCTTCAAAACTCTGTTTGGTAAGCAGTTTACAGTTCTAATTACACAACAAATTCTGATAGCACGTTAACAGTTCGTATTTATCAGCTTTTGCCAAAATTTTACTCCTGGCTATCAAATGCATTTCTGCTCTTCTAAGTCTCCTAAGGTAAGACACCTTACACATCAAATGGCACCTTTCCCAATACCTTGTGGCTATGGCACATGTGAAATTCAGCAGATGAAGGTGTCCACTACTTGCAATTTACTGTTGATGAATCTTTACTAAGTTTTAAAACTATCTCCCTACCTTTACCCTTCCTGATCTCACTTGGAAAGCCCCAGAGGAACTGCTCTGCTAGGCAGTGGATTTGGCATCTGGTAAATTGCTATCAGATCACAGGGTGAAGACTTTTGGATTAGTGAAGAAAAAAATAAAGATTTGTAAAGATTAATACCTGTTGATGAACGACAAATAGTTTGATAGGGAAACTGCCACTCACGAATACTGTAAGTAGTATGGAATTCAAATTATTTTAACTTGTAGTCATCTATTGAAGTATTTTTTACAGTTGTTTTGGGGTCACCAAATTTAACAGTTGGGCAGTTAACAAATTTATTACCTGATAGGAAGCACTGTCATCTGGGCAAAGGACAAACTGCACATCTAACATATCGGGGAATTTCCTGGCAAAATTTGAAACCTCTTCAATCATGATCTCCGCCACTGTTTCCTCCGATAGCATTGCTGACCAAATCCCCTTTGCCGGAAAAGAAACTGAGGGGGATTTCAGATTCTGAATGCAACACAAGCATTTGGTAACTGCTTCTTTTAATTGCTGCAGGAAAAAGAAGTGTTTTAGTCCTCGCATCACTCAACATGAAAATCTTCAATTAAAACCCAGTTTAACTGATCATCACCTCACACTGTAACACCACGTGTTTGTATTGTTGCCACACAACGTGCAGTACATGCTTGCAGGGTAGGTTATACCCTTTTGTTATTATGAGCTCCTTGTAAGAAGTAGAATGCCTAAGCTGAGACAGAATTTCCTCTTGAAGAGCTGGACCCGCTTTTTGCATCATTGGCGATGAAAATGGAGAGTAAAGCATGCTGTCTGAAGACACGGAGCTAACAATGGCTCCAGTCTGCAAGAAAAGAGTTCAAAGTTTCAGTATACCTTAAGTTTTATACTTGCAAGTTTTGCTACAACAGTGAGCATTCTTTCCAGGAACAGTTCCTTTAAGAAATCCCAGCTGCAGCAGATCAGCTTTTTGATAGTTTCTCTCACTACTGCTAAGCACAGTGCTGGAATACATCAAAGTATACACCTACTAGTGGCAGTAAAGGTATATATTTTTATTCAGAAGTTTTAATGATTTTAATCATTTAATTGATCAATTAATCATTTAATGATGCACCATTGAAAGGTAAGGTTCACACCAACTGTTTAAGTTATTTTCAGCTGACAGCTATGACAACATAAATTATAGGAAAAAAAAACAAGGCAAAGCGTAGACTTCTAGAGAATGCATGATAAAATGTGAACTCCTATGATATTACAATAGAAAGAGAAAACATATGGATATATTATTATTTATTACTTATTATATTATCATCCAATATTTAGTTACTTACTATTATCCCACAGTAGCATGTATACAAAAAAAAAAAAAAGCTTTCTAACCCATTTAAAAATCTAGCTCCTTGCAGATATAGCTTATTTATCTTTCATAAATTTTCATCAAGATGAGATGGCAATTTCATGGACCAGTAAAACGTGTTCTGTACTCTTGGCCCCCAAAGCCTGTAGGGACTCAGAGGCAACCCCACATTCAATATATTGCAGGATGGACTTACCTCTTGCTCTTCAATGTGTCCTTTTAAGATACGCAAGCGCCAGTTTCCAACTATGACAGATACAGGATCGCTTGGTGAAGCTGGAGCAGTTTCCTGAAGCGAATTGCTATCACCCAGAAACTTTTCACAGGCCTTTTTCATTTCTGCTACTGTTTTGTCACAAATGTTCACCAGACGGACTTCCTTGAGACTTCCTGGTGGGCTCCTCTCAAAAAATCCCTTTATAGCCATTACAATCACTTGAGCACACAAATTGAGTGGGAAGCCAAAAATACCTGAACTCACTGCTGGGATAGCCACAGACTTTATACCATTTTCTGGAGCATTAGCGTATTTCAGGACATTCACAATAGCTTCCTCAAGCAGGACACAACATTCTGTCTTTTCAAGCATGTACCACCTTGGGCCAACTGCATGAATAATTTTCTTACATGGAAGCTTCCCTCCACCTGTCACTGCTATATTGCCAGTTGCGAGTTTTCCGTATTTATTAATATAAATACTGCTTTCCTCTTTTATTTCTGGCCCTCCAGCACTTGCAAGAGCTAAAGCAAGGCCTCCATCATGTGCTAGGTATTCATTGGCTGCATTCACCAAAGCATCAGCTTTGTGTTTTGTAAGATCATCTTTACAAACCAATATCTGAATTCCCTGCTTTAGTATTGTTCTGTACACTTCAGCAGTGGATTTTACACTTCCAAAGGTGAATGCACAAGCAAACTTTTTGTCAATGAGATTACTTAGACACTGCTCTCTTTTCTTAAGAACTTCATAAGCATCTTTGTTGATTGGGATCATCAAGCTGTCCTTGTCCATTCTTGGCTCTAGGATACAGAATAATATAAAGTGAAATCCAAGAAACCACTGAAAAAACTTTTATATATACACACACACACACATATATATAATACATATTATATATATAATATATACACATATATATAATGTGTGTGTTTGTTTTAGAGCTCTGAATTTCATTTTAGTCTCACTGCTTACTAATATTTTTGTTATAGTCTGATCTTTTCTCTCCCTTTTTCAGAGGCTGAGTAAGCACAACTAAGCAAAGAAATCAAGGCTTTGTGTGAAAATTGTCTTACGGGAGGGACTGCATTAATATGCTATAGAGAAAACTATTATGTAAACTCCAGTTGGGCACTAACTCCTTTACTTTCCTGGGAGTAGTTTTGCTTTTTTGTTCATCCCCCTGAGTCCTCTCAGTGGAGGGATTACCAGTAGGTAACGCCTGCACAAGCAGAAAACACTTCTCCCCTCTGAGCTTGTTTTGAAGGCTGGCCCTTCTCTGCCATCTTCAGGGCGTTCGTGGCATTTTGTTAGTGATTTCCAATAATGTCCAAGGGTCTGTACAGCACCTCAGGCTCTTGCAGAGTCTGACCCACAGCCACGCTGCCAGAGGAAGGCTTGTCAGCCCATTCATTCTGTCATCAAGCGGTCTGCACTTACATCCTGAGAGCGAGTTCTCTCTTTGGAAGGACCTTAGGAATTCAGAAGGGCTTTTAAAACCACTTTTTTTTAGGAAACAAATTAATGTAACAGAGTAGGTAAGTGTTTATGTTGTTCCTAGGGCTATATAGTCTCCTGATTGCAGGTGTAAACAGAACTACATGCAGCAGCAATTTTAATTAATGTAAATCAATTTGTATGAGTTTAATTAAACTTTCATTGGAGTATGCTACTTATAAAAAGAGTCTAACAGCATGCACACCAATTCATCAAGGCACTTCTGAGCTCTGCTTGATAAAAGAGATGCAAGCAAATCCTGCTGAAGTAATGAACAGTAATGTTGACTCACAGCTATGACCTACTTATATGTTTAGGGTTGTTTTTAGCTGTCCCATGCCAAAGTTTTCCAGCTTGCTGGTTGTAGCTGCAGTTTGCAAACGAAATGCAGGAATTTGCTTTCCAGACAGCGAAGCACAAGGCTTACCTGAGCTCCGAGAATCTTCTGGGGTCGGCAATTGATGACTTTATCAGGAAAACAGGAAAGAGAAAGCACACGTTACTACTGAATGCGCTGGGTTCTTGCAGAAACGGTTCTGTTTCAAGCCAAACCAGCACCCCCAGCTTTATAAAAAATACGTAGGAAGCCTCCTAACACCTAAAACGCCACTCAGAGAGGAACTTACAAGGGATGAACTTACAACGAGCGGCCCGCTGCAGCTGAAGCATCCACACCTTCGCCTAGCACTAACCGAGAGCAGTGGGAGAGGAAAGGCCAACTCCAGCTCATCCCGAGCCCAGAGGACAGCGGCACTCGCCCAGCACTCACTTGGTGACCCCGCCAGGGAAGCTCTCCTCAGGCTCCTGGTGCTGGAAACGGGGCCGGGGCTGCTGCCGGCCACCCTTTAGACCCAGGACGGGAGAAGGCGGCCAGGAGGCGGCTGCTGCCCCAAGCTTTTACCTCACGCCACGGCTGTTCCGGCTGTGCCCCAGAGCCTCTCCCTCAGCTCCAGTCCCAGCCCCACAGGCGGCGGCTCCTCAGCACCTCAGAGCTGGGGGAAGGACGGCCCCGAGCGGCGGAGCAGGAAGCGAAAGCGAAAGCCAGCGGCGGGCACCATGGCGGCGCCGCTGCTGGTGAAGCTGAGCCCAGCGCCTGATGACAGCGAGAAGGCGAAGCTGAAGCTCCAGAGCTACTTCCAGTCAGGGAAGCGCTCAGGGGGAGGCGAGTGTGAGCTGCAGGCGGGCCCCGAGCCCGGCACCTTCCTGGTGTACTTCCACCAGGAGCGAGGTAGGGGTGGGGGGCGTGAAATGGCCGCCCCCGGGCACCATCTTGTGCCCGCTGTGGTGGGGCGGGTGGGTGAGGGGTGGCTGTGGCTGCATGGGGTTCATGGCCCAAATGTCCCTCTGCCCGCAGATAAGAAGAATGTGGAGTCCCGCACTGACCACGTCGTGGAAATGGGTGCCAAGTGCCTGAAGGTCAGCATCCAGCCCGAGAAAGGGGGCTTGAGTGGGGACCAGTCGACGTCGCAAGCCGCCGCCAGCTGCTCCCAGCCATACCACATCTCCCCACCGCCTCGGGGGTCCAGGGAAAAGCAGGCTGCTGAAGGACAGCGAGACACCGCAGCTGAAACCGTGACCAAAAAGGTAGGCTAGGAAGAGGGGTATAAAGCAGCATCACAGCCTGCCCTGCTTGTGGTCCCGTGAGTCCTTTGGGAAAGGCCAAACAGCGCTGCTTCCTGTCACACTGCAGTGTTTCATACCACACAGATGTTAATCCTGCTGCCTTAGTCAATAAAACTGGGGTAGGGAACAGCTTTTGATGGTTTTGGCACTGCTGCTCCATAAGCGGTGCCCTGGTGGGTTTCAGGGGGTAGCATGCACCAAGGACTGTTGCCAAAAGGTGGAAGAATTGCATGAGGTTTGGATCTCTTCCTGGTACACAGACCTCCAACACTACTTCAGCATGGTTTGCTTCCCTCAAACAGCTCTAATTACTTCCATCCCATACCTCAGTCTTACAAAAATTTGCTCTGATGGGGCATAGCGCAATGAATGTTTCTAACATTTGAACTAAAAGTCATATGGAAAAGGTCAACTGTGCTTTAGGGCCATGGTGTAAACTGTATGGCCTGTCTATAACTTACATGATGCCTTAACCCTGAGTTACTGAATCACTGAATCATTTCTTCTGTTGTTTTTTGTTTTTTGTTTTTTTTTTTTTTTTAAGGAGTGAAAATGACTGGGAAGTCTAATGTAATAAAAAAGAACAATGTAATGTAATGTCTGTGCTGTTGAAATGTGTAGCCTATCACGCTAAGTAGCAAAGTTCCTTGTTCTTTGTTCCCGTAAAACTGATGACATTAACAAACTTCAGTTTTGCTGCTGATTTAGAAGGAGATTGCTTTACTCTGATGTAGTGTTTGTATACATGGCATAAAAGAAACACTGTGCAAATTTCTCTATGTTAATCTGGCCCTACAGAATTGTGTCAAGGTTTTCATTACTCAAACTATAGAAGCACCAAGTTGAGAACCTTAGGGAAAAAAAAAATAATGTCTTCTTGTCTTCTCTTTAGATTTTTCTTACAGTATCTGCGATATTGAATACCAGTATGTTCACTAAACAGCAAAGGGAGAAAATTGCTCTTATATGTCCAAACCTAAAAAGAGAAGGAAATCCTGATGTTGACGGCTATGAGAAATTAACAGGAGACTACACAGATATTGAAAAAGCTTATCATTACTTTAAAGATATCCTTGCAGGCTACGACCAACACCATGATTTTTCACATACTGGGAGTAAGAATGGTTTAGAAGATGGGAATGGTCTGAAAAATGAAGAAAGCGATGAGCTTACAGTTCCATCAGCTCTCTATGAATATTTCTGTCATACCTGCAAAGATCAAATTAAGGAACTGAATGAATGTTTTGGGGTGCATTTAAGAAATAAAGATTGTAACAATGGGTACACATCAGTATGCTTCAATTCTAATAAAAGTTCTAAAAGTTCTGCATCAATGCAAAAAGCTAAGGATTTTTTTACCAGTGCTTTTCAGAAAAATATCAAAGATGTGCAACAGGAAAAAATTTCCCTAACGAACGGTTACCAGTTAAATGAGACAATAATGAAATTAAATAATAGGTTCAGTAATCTTCTTGCCAAACAGGAAGAGAATCAACTACTCCTCCGTGGTCCAACAAAAGAAATTTTGAATGCCAAAAACTTTCTAGAAGAGGAAATGCAGAACAGCCAAACTGAAAAGAATGTGGATATACCATGTGAATTGTATACTTACAGGAACGAAATTGCAGTTGATGCTTCTGTGTTCAATCTGTTGGAAACAGCATTACAAAAAGAAATTGAGGACATTAAAGAAAATTTTGATACTGTAATGGAAAAGAAACACAGTTCAGACAGCCAGAAGATGCTCATAATATTTAAGCCAAGGTCCAAAATTTCTGATAGGTTTTCCCATGCTATTGAAGCTTTCATCAATGCATTTCAGAATGCCTTTGCAATGTTAAGAGAAAAACTTATCAGCTGTAAACTTTCAGAGTATCAGGAACAACGATTAAATATGCTTGATGGAAAACAATTGGAAGACCTGCACGTAAAATTTAAGAAGAAGGAAGACAAAATAATTTTATATGGTTTACCAAACCATCTCGACGCTGCTGAAAAGCACATCATGAAACTTCTTAATGCTGGAGGCTCTGCAGAAACTAAAACCAGGACACCACTTGGCAACAAAGAAGCTACAGGAGTGTCTGAGAAGAAATACGGTGACAGGCAAAAGAGTAGTTTTTGTTCCAAAGAGGAGGCTAAGGCAAAGACAGAAGAAGACACCGATAGCACATGTCCTATTTGCATGGAGGGAATGAATGATAAAGTAATACTGACAAAGTGCAAGCATGCGTTTTGCAGAGTTTGCATCACAAAGGCCATGACTTACAAGAAAACTTGTCCTGTTTGTAATACCGTCTATGGGCCCATGCAAGGAAATCAACCCGAGGGAGAAATGTCATTTCAATTTACTCGTTCATGTCTTCCTGGATATCCCAACTGTGGTACTATTGTGATTCACTATGATATGAAAGGCGGGATTCAAACTGTGAGTATATTTAAAGGTCCATACAATACACTGTCCCCCCAGCAAAGCCAATGTTGAGTGTAAAATTCTGTAGTTCTCCATCTTTTCTATTTGTTTGCTACAAATCTATGGAGTGGTAACATGTAAGTAGAATCTGGTATGTTTAATGAGGCTTTTCTGAGACATTCTCTTAGCAAATGACAACAATTGACAAAACTGAAGAGCAGGTTGGCTTCTAAATTTTCCAGCTGAGAAACCAGCTTATGTTCCATGTTTGGAGTCATGACTAGGAATGAAAATGGGGTGAATGAAGACATCAGGGGTGGGGTGACAAGTATTTGGGAAATCAAAGAGGAGAAAAATAACAACAATAGCAATGGGATGGATGCATGAGTGACGAAAAGAAAATGTGAATGAAATGTATATAAAAGAAGTTGTATAGTGAGAAAAAAACATTTAAAATCAGTCATGCTGTGTCCTTCTGAATGGATCAAAGAGAGATAAAATGTACTGCGAAAGCTGGGATGTGTGATTTCTACACTTCGAAAGAATTTATGGTAACACGATGCATTTTTGTTCTGTTTTTCTACAAAACAGAAAGACCATCCGAACCCAGGGGCACCTTATAAAGCGGTTTTTCGGACAGCGTATTTACCTAATAATAAGGAAGGGCAAGAAATTCTGCAGCTCCTCAAAAGAGCCTTTCAACAAAAATTGATTTTCACAGTGGGGCAGTCACGCACTACCGGCTTACAAGGTGTTATCACATGGAACGATATTCACCACAAAACCTCCATATATGGTGGACCTACAAAGTAAGTAGTCTTTCAGTAATTATAATGCTAGTCAGATGCGGCAGGTTGGCTACCCTGTACACTTTCCACATTAGAGCTTTCAGATTTTTCATTGTGCTGCAAGCCACGGGCAAATCTGATGTATCTGACCTGGCTTGTTGCTAAAAAAAAAGTGATAGTGGAAGGTTCTGTGAATTCAGACTTGAACCACCTTTGTGGCCTTTGAGTGCTGCTAGTGCAACTGGTGATAGGAAAAGCACGGGCAGCACTGCGTGCAGCAACAATAAGCATCACAGAGACAATTTTGACAGTTGGAACAAGGATGAGTTTAGTTTTCTGTTGCCCCTTAGGCCACTCATTCACCAGTCAGTTGTGTGAGGTACTTAATCAGCTAATGCCTGCCTGATTAGAAACTATCTGTGGTACAGGACAGGACGGCACTCTGTTGAGAGCAGCTAAGGCCTGGCTCCTGATCTCAGCCTCTTCTGCTACCAGCTGTTACCAGGAGGTGCTGGTCCAGTACGACAGCAGAAAGAAAGGCACTCAGACTCTGTAAAGGATCATATGAAATTCTACTTGGAATTAAAGGTGTAAAGAAAGAGCCAGTAGTATCGATAAGGTCATGCCCCTCTAAATACTTGAAACCCTGAGATGTGCAGCATCGAGGAGGCTTTTGATCAGGGCACAGCACACCACGCGGGCTGTCTCTAGAAAGGGTTTCCCCATTTTAGCCATTTGAGCTATAACGGGGTTTTCTTAGAGGAAAACAACTCTCTTCAGCATTTCTTGAGAACGTCTTGCTGCGCTGCTGGATAAAAGCAAGGCCACGCAGGTGGTGTAATCGCTGGCTCTGCGTGGGAGCTGCCCTCAGGCTCCTCTGTTATGGTTTGCTGGCTGAGGTTATCCTGTGGCCGAGGGATGTGCATGGCACAACAGAAACTGAAGGCTGTGCTGTACGTGCAGCACTGGTACATGGATCACTAATTCCTCAATCTGTAACGGCCTTCTGGTCAGGATCACGACCTTCCACCCCTTGAGGCACATGCAGTTGTCATTTCTTAAAGATGTGCCTAATTAGAGATTATATCAGGAAGCTGTTTGGTGCTACTTGGAAAATTGTTAGTTTTCAATATATTTATAGGCAGTTGCTGTAAATAACACTACGAGAAAGACGACAAGTAAAACAAATACTGACTGCAAGAATAAGTGGAGGGTAGCAGTGATGGGAGGGCTGGGACCGACCAAGAAGTTTTGCCATCAGGCCATACCCCTCATTCCATGTCCACTTCAACAATTGTGATGCAAATTTCACCAAATTTCACAACTCAGAGTTGTGCAGCACTGACTGGGCCTCTAGTCAGGGCATGGCATGCCACGCAGACCCCATCCAGAGATGGGATGGCATTTTGGTCTTTTAAGCCATTGCAGGATTTTCTTACAAGAAGGCAACTCTGTTGAGCGCTTCTGCTTTAAAACAGAAAGAATGTTCACATGAAATCTTGCTGCACTTCTAGATAAAGGCAAGGACACGCAGGTGGTGTAGCTGCTGGTAACAAGGGGGAGTTGCCTGCAGGCTCCTCTGTTACAATTAGCTGGCTAAGTTAATTCTGTGGCCAAGGCTTGTGCACAGCACTGGCTGGTCAGGGTTGCTGCACCTACAAATCAGCCTCCAATGCATTCTCAGTCATGCAGGCAGTTACAGCCCTCCAGGGTGTTCTCTTGTGTTCCCAGGAAATTTTGAATCTTCCCAAGAGAATCACTCTGTAAATAAAAATATGATGCTTCTGGGTTATTTTAATGCTGTTGCCTATGAAAACAGACATTGGAGCACAGCTGTCTGTTGAATGTGGCAGTTGTCGTGGTAATATGAAAGCCCAGGATTGAATTGTCTCTAGAATGAAATAAAGTAGATTAAACAATCCTGCACCCCTCACGCATGTCTCAGGAAGAACCCATTTTTTGATGACACTTTCTGCCTTTAAGTCCTCCTGTCTTTAACCTTTTCTTGGTGACCAATGTTGAAGGAATCAGTCATCAGTGAGAGGCTTTGGTGTTTTGAATATGTGTACAGGGGCACCTTGATTAGAAAACTAGCAACTGAAGCAAAATGCTTCTAACTAGATAAACAAAAATAATGTTGTCAAAGCTCAGAATATAGAATTGGATGCTGGGTTTATTTTTTTTATTTTTTTTTTCTGTTCTGAACACGCACAGCTTATGTGTACAATAGTAAACATCTTGGTTAAATACTGGTTAATTCTGTAGTAACATGCAAACTTGCTTGACAAAGCTCTAATCATGTTGTAATACAGATAACAAAAGTATTTTGCTTTCACTTCTCAGGCTCTATCTGAGAGTTTAGAAGGAAGCTGGGAACACTCATTTTAAGCTTGTTGAAGCCTCTCAGGGTCAGGCGTCTTCTAACAAGCTCTAAAGATCTGTGCCTAGAGTTACGTACTCCCTCCTGGACTAGGATCATAAAAGAGCAAAAATTATTAATTTTGGTTTATCCTCCACTTTGCTGAATGCCCCCTTCTTATCACTTGCTGTGTATATCCTTTCAGTGACATGCTACTTGAAATTCAGAGGTGCTGTTATATTTGTGTTTTGAATGCTCACTTGGAGACGCTTCTGGTCTGTTTTTCAGAAAGATGCATATCTGAGTGCCCTATGATTTGCAAGGCCTGCCTTCTCGGTAGGGTGAGAAGTGTGTGCATGAAATTTGTAAAGTATTTTAAGAGATTTTGATGTGAAGGGTCTGTAAAACTGTCAAGTGCTTCTTTGCACAAGTATCCCAAACAAGTCTTTTCTTCTTCTTCTAGTTTTGGCTACCCTGATCCTGATTATCTGAAGCGGGTTCGATCAGAATTGAAAGCAAGAGGAATTGAATAGAGAAACCTACAAGCTGGCATCTTTTAAGTGTAATAACTGAACATGCAGCAGTTAATTCACCGATCAGGTTCTAAGAAGAAAGTTAATTTGTTCAACTGCTATACGTAAATCGCTTGTATTTCACAGTCAGCTAAGAAAAGTAATCTTTTCTGATCAAAAGATATATGTTGTTTTCATGCAGTATTTGCTTCTATGAACAATGCTTCCCTATATGCTTCCCTCTTTGCAGAATTTGGATCTCTTGAGTGCAGCATCTGTACTAGCATTTGTCAAATAGCAGTTTGTGTATCTTATTCTCATTTTACCAATAAATCTTGTCTGTACTTGTTCCTACAAGTCTTCAGTCTGGCCTCCAAAGTGGCAAATCCATTACTAGCTTTTCTTTGACCAAATACTTCTGCTTCATGTTTTTATACCAGTCGTCATGGATAGCATCATGTAATCTGTGCTGGAGGATTTGTATGCAGCTGTTACAGTATCAGCTGTATATGGCCATGATCTTTTGTTTCTTTTCCTTTTCAAGGTAGATACAGCATTAATGGTTTGGGTTTTAAACGTGAAATTGGCATGGATAATGTTGTGTGATAGGTTTTGTGGATGCTGCTATTTTTTCACCTGTGTCCAGAAATGCTGAATGCTGAAAGTCTGGCTGGGACAAACAGACACTGTTTGTGGTCATCTCTGGTAATGAGTTCCTGGCTCCATGCCTTTCATTGTATTTAAGCCTAAATACTGCTTTCAAGTCAGTTTTGCATGTAACACTGTACTTCCCATCGCTTCCAACGTGATTTAAATATTAGCATGAAGATAATTTTGTCACACTGCTTTGAGCTGTCCAAATAGCTGGCCAATTACCTCTGTGGTGGTAGAAAACAAATAGGTTTCACTTGATGTACCCTAATTTTAATGAGTTAAACTATTTGTGTAAGACATTACATATAATAAATAAAATATATAGTTATCACCTGATCAGTTTTGCGTTCTTCTGTACAAGTTTTTCTTCCTGTTTTAGAGACATACAGTTCTGTTTTGTTTTTTTTTTTGATTTGGGAGTTTCTCAGCAACTTCTCCAAAGTGATTTGGACCCCACACATCCTCTTTTTAAAAGTAAGTAAATTCCTTCCATGGTTAATAGGCAGCGCTACCTTACCACAATGAATTTCAGATTTCCTAGCAGTGGGGACAGTTTGGTTCCCATGTGAGCTGAGATGACTTTCCCACTGTGTTTTGTTTTACTGTATTTAGTTTCACATTTAATGCTGTTGCAAGCTTTCTCCATTTTCTGTGCCCTAAGATACCAATATACCAGTTGCTTCTAAATGACCATGTTTTCATGTGGATCTGCACACTGAAACCAGCTGTGAAGTTCAAATCTCCTTGGTTTTGTCATTAGGACAGTCTTTTCACTTTTGAGCCCAATAAGCCATTTCATCAGCGTTATACCCCTGTCTGAAAATTCACCTGCCTCCATTTTATCTATGGCAAAGTGTTACGGGCTGAGAGCCAACAGAGGAGTAAGAGCCCTGCCAGCTGTCAGGGAAAGTTGCCAAGCCTTTATCCTGTAATTAGAGCTGCACAAGACCTTTATCTTCGAATCATACCTGTGCAGCTGAGGAATAAATCTGTCTGATTTAGTCAGATATTTTGCCTGGGCTCTGGCAAGGGAGGAGAGCATGTACCCAGGCTACCTGTTGAGAGACCAGCATGATAGGAAACAAAAGATTATTCGCCCACTGAGAGACAAGGGAATTCCCATGGGATCTGCTCGGCGGTGTGTCTCACAATACCTATATGTATCTGACATCCATCTGTGTTTGTCATATTTAAAGACATTTGGTTTTTAGCCACTTCCTAGATGTATCCTCAGTGACATTAGGGGAACGTGTTTCTATTCCCTACCCGCTGTTTCAGTGCCTCATATTTGGGCACAACAATCAAATACACACCAAGAAGCTTCCTTTAACTGTATGCTCTGTGACTGGGTGCCGCAGCTTGAGTGCTGTGTTCAGTTTTGGGCCCCTTAATACAAGAAGGACATCGAGGCTTTGGAGTGTGTCCAGAGAAGGGCTACGGAGCTGGGGAAGGGCCTGGAGCACAAGTCCTCTGAGGGGCAGCTGAGGGAGCTGGGGGTGTTTGGTCTGGAGAAGAGGAGGCTCTGGGCAGACTTTATTTCTTCCTACAGCTGCCTGAAAGGAAGGCGTGGGGAGATGGGGTTGGCCTCTTCTCACAAGTAACTAGTGGTAGGACTAGAGGGAATGGCCTCAAATTGTGCCAGGGGAGGTTCAGGTTGTAAATGAGGAGACATTTCCTCTCAGAAAGAGCAGCCAGGGCATTGGGATGGGTTGCCCAGGGAGGTGGTGGTGTCACTATCACTCAGGGTGTTCAAGGAAAGGTTGGACGTGGTGCTTAGGGACATGGTTCAGTGGGTGACACTGGTGGTAAGGGGGTGGCTCCTGGAGGTCTCTTCCAACCCTAATGATTCTGTGAATCTGTGGGTGTCGTGTGTGGGTCAGGAGGAGGAGAGGCTGCTGCCTAGCATGGGGTTAGCAGGGGATTTTACTTCACAGGAGGAGGAAGAGGTGCGGTACCCCATGGCCACTGCAAGCTCAGCCACCGATCGCAGCGGCTCTGGAGCTCCCCGCACCCCTCCGGGCGGCGAGGAAGGGCCGGGAGCCGCCTTTCTCCTCAGGGCCGCCCCGTCCCGTCCCTTCGCCCCGGTGGCGGGGCGGAGCCGTGCTCGGTGGCGTTTTCCTCGCCGGGGAAATGAAAGCGAAAGCGGCGGGGCTGAGGGACGGGACGGGGCTGCGGGGCGGCCATGGCGGGGCCGCGGGCGGCCGCCTTCCCGCTGCTGGTGCGCGGCGACTGGGGAGAGGGCGAGCCGCCGGCCGCCCTGCGCAAGAAGCTGCTCCTCTATTTCCAGAGCCACAAACGCTCGGGAGGCGGCGAGTGCGAGCTGCAGGGAGGCCCTGGCCACCTCCTGGTCTGCTTCGCCCACCCCGACGGTGAGGGTTTGCTCTGAGGGGCGGTGGGGACGCGATGGCGGCTGCCCCCCCCTCACCCTCACTGTGTGCTGTGTGTTGGCAGTGAGGCAGCGGGTGCTCGACCGGCCGGGCCATGAGCTGGACCTCGGGGCTCGGGGGAGGCTGTCGCTGCTCGTCACCGAGCCCCCGGTGGACGGGGACCTGCTGCAGGTGAGGAGGGACCGAGGGGGACACACACGGGGGGCTGCAGCCGCTGCCTCCCCCCCCTTAACCTCTCGTTCCGCCTGCAGGAGCCCGGCCCGGCTGAGGAGCCAGCGAGGAGGGCTGCGGGAGGAGGTAAGAGCCCCCCCGTGCTTCGTGTGGCGTTTGGAAGGGATTTTCGGTTACAAAGCGCTGCCACGAACCAGGAACTCCTCGCCAGGCATAGCTGGAAGGGGCTGGTGCAGTTTTGGCAAAGATCAGCTCCTCCAGGATGGGGTTTATTCGGCTTCACCCCCATCTCCGGGACGTGCTCCTTTGTTGGGCAATGCACAGGGCGGGGGTGAGGGACTGATGTCTGTTGCTATCTCTGTCTTCTCCTTTGGCTGCATCCCTTGCTGTTTTAAAGCAAACAGCAGGCAGGAAAACATTACCGAAGCGCCTGGGTTTTTAAGGCACTTCCCTCCAGAGGAGGGAGGTCTTTCAGGTCCCACGTTCAGCAGCACCGTAGCTGAGTGTTGTCATTTATCTCTATTTATCTCTAGTTAATGAGCCCTGCGCATCTCTTCCCACTGGCAAGAATGAAGATGCTTCTGTGTGCCTTCAGCAGGAGAAAACAGGTAAGGATGCCACCTATCAAAAGACCAGCGTGTTCTTACCTCAGGGGTTTTCATCGACCTTTACGCTGCAGCACTGCCTCGGTCACCTCAATGGCTTCTGGTGTTTGTCTAATCTAGTGTAGAAATCATTATCTTAGGCTAAAAGATAAAGATACATAGATCTTCTTCTCCCAAGGTGATGACTTCCTAAAGGGACTCACACAAATCAAAAAAAAATATATATATATATATACTCAAGTCTCTTTAAGAAACTCTCCTACTTCACTGAGTGTCTCAGAAAGTTCAGCTCCTCAGAAAGACCCTTTCAGGGTAAGGATGTCGCTGCCCAGGGAAGGGAAGCCGTTTCTCCTCCTATGTTGGTAGGAAAACTCACAGTACTGATACGCTGGGTTTGTTTGGGCTTTAAAGGATGTTGTGTAACAAAACTGAATTACTGGTTATTTGTTCTCTTAATTTTTGCCTAAAGGCATCAGGGTGTGATCTTTCATTTTAGAAACACGTGAGAATCTGGAAGCAGAAACAGACTCCAGGAATTCTGTCATAGTAGTAACCACTGCCCCTGGGGAAGAAATAGAAGATGAAGTTGTGGAAATGTACTTTGAAAATAAAAAGAAGTCTGGTGGGGGGGCCATCAAGTCCTTGGTCAGAAAGGATCGGCTAATTTTCATCACTTTTCATGATAAAGAAGGTATTATTGTATCTTATGGCTGTTATATTAATAATGCTCCCTTTTAAAAACAGACCTCTGCTGGTGGTGGATTTCTTTGTGGGCATTGCTATGATAGAAATGTCGTGTTATTCTGGAGAGTGACAGGATGTAAAAGCAGTAGGTGTACCTGCCTGTCCAATTTAGATATGGGTTCTGGCAGTGTTTGTAATGGTTATTACAAGGAAAGAAGTGGTTCTCTAGACCTGTCCCAAATGCTTGATGAAGGCTTACAGAGAATAATACAGGAAAGCTCATGTCAGGAGAACTGCAGAACAAGTCAGCTTTAGTTCTTGCTCAGGAGACAGGATAAAGCATAGTGCATAAGTTAACTGCAGATCGTAAGAAAGAAAAGAAAAAGTATTTACTTACTAATTTCAGTTGCCAGGGTTTGGGAGACTGTGAAGAAAAGAGGCAGTAAATTCCAGGTATTTGTAAGACAGAGGTGAATGCTCGCCTCTGTTTTTAAAAGTAAAAAAATAAAAAAAAAATAAAGTAGCCTCAGTTTATTTGTAGTTTTCCTGTGTTTTGCTCCAGGCTAAAGTAGTGTTGACTACTTGTTAGCAAGTGAAGGACGTGTACAAAAAGATGAAACTGTTTCTGCAGAAACAATAGTCATATCTGTTAAATGCACAGATGAGCAGGATGAAAACCCCTTTCTTTATTTGCTATTATATCTAAAACAGATATCTAGAAAACAGGTTTTTTGCACTTGAGGACAGTAGTAGAAAGGAAGTAGTGCTCAAAAATTATCCCCCCCCTCTTTCTTTTTTTTTTTTTTTTGGCCTTATATCTGTTTCTTCTTTTTTATTTTCTTCATATGAGGAAAATATGGCTGGCCACACTTGAGAGTATAGCTTTACAGTATTATCTGCTCTCGGGAGAAAGGAGGGAGATGAAAATCACATCTTTCTTGTTTGTTTCCATGTGGAACTAGATGCCCAAGAAGTCTTGCAAAGGGAACATCACTCAGTGAAGAAGATCAATCTGTCCGTGAAGCCTTGGCAAGTGGAGACTACCCAGGAGCCGTTCCAAGTGGGAAACTCTGAAGCACCCCTGCATTCCCCCTTAGTTGTGCTTGAAAATGTGCAGGAGACAACAAAAGATTATATGTTAATTATGCTGGTAGAGAACATCAGTGGCTTGTCAGAGGAAGATGGGCACTTCAGTGTGGAAATGATACCTGAAATAAAGGCTGCTGTAGTTGCTTTTACTGGAAGTACAGGTAAGGAGAAGTCTGGGTTGCAGATTTCTATCATGAGCTACTTTTCTGTTTGTGGGAGGGAGACTAAGTGGGAAATGAAGAATATTTTATCATTGGCTTGAGAAAAAATCTGATCCTGCGTCATTTTAAATGAGTAGTGGCTCTAGGAATGTCAATGATACCCTTTATCTGTAAGGTATAAAGGCCTATGTAAATGAGGAGAGTGAACAGAAAGGGTAGGGCTAAAAATAAACTATATGAAAGCAACAAAATGATATGGTGTGTCTTAAAATAGATCAATGGTAAAGGTTCTGCTTGCCAAAAGGTGCTACGTGTAATAAGTTTGCATGGGTTTAAGGGCAGATCAAACAACTGCTTAGAACAGACCCTTTTGTGGTAATTAAATAGACTGCATCATGCTTGGGAAATTTCTGTGCTAAGAAATAGTTGGAGGTTGGTTGAGGATTAAGGAAGCAGCAGCATCTTACAGCTGTTGAGATACCTGCTGTGGCTGTTGCAGGAGACAGGATACTGGGCTGCATGGACTGGTCCCTGCCAAGATTTCTGGGTGACACCGTTAACAAATCCCATCCCAGGACAGGGGCAACAGCAAGGGGTGTAAGCCAGTGCCATAACTGATGATGTTGAGAAAACAAAGCTTCATTTCCTGGGGAAATGAATTAAACTGACAGCAGGAAACTGGCTGCAGCCTTCTGTCAGTGCTGCTGTGCTTCAGCACACTTAAGCGCATGTGAAATCACCCTGAGTTTGGCTGAGGAGGGGGGACAGGAAAGAAGAGAGAACTGTTTCATCTGTGGAGGAAAAGCTGGAAGTCTCTTTAGAAGGCAGAACATGATGAAAAGAAGTTACATGCCAGTTTAAATCAAGCTCGTGGGAGCAGTTGTAGTACTGGTAATATATAAGAATGAAGTTGCTCAGAAATCTTAAAGTTGTGAAGGGATTAGTCAATGGTGTAATTAAACCAAATAAGCTTTTAAGTTTTGACAAGGCATGGAGTTTTCTACTGTAGAAGTTGGATAGAATTCGCCTCTCGTTGTGGTCTGGTCTCAGATTTCTGGTGTAGCCTGGAGGGAATAAGTAGATCATTAAAATAACGGTCTGTCAGGCAAACGCACACCTAAAAGTGACTTGTTTGTCTCTTACCATGGTGATATCAGGGTGGAGAAGGGCCAAAATAATAGGATGTATTTATCGTAAGAGTTTAAATTTGGATTCTTTCAGTTTTGACTTCTGTCTGATTAATTGTGTATAAATGAACCTGATCTTATTTTCTTTTGGGGTTAAAGAGACCAGGTGCTACTCACTAGGAAAAATAACGATGAATTCTGTCTGCAGTCATTGTACCTCAGTTGTGATCAACCTTCTGGTGAGGAATAGGTGACAGAAGCTGAGTGTGTGCAAGCAAGTTAGCTTTGTGGGCACCACCGTTTTGACAGATGCTTCATAATTCAGTGCTGTGGCCAGTGCATACAGTGATAGTCTGCTCACATCAGAGCAGAGAATGAGCTACGGGTTTGATCTTGTTTCTTTCCTCTCTTCTCTTTCCAGATACAGAGGAAATTGTTAAGAAGCTAAACCAAAACCAAAGAGTAAAGAAACAAAATATTACTGCACGTTGCCTTGAGTTAACAAAAAGTGTTAGGGCTGAAAATATACCCCCTAACACACCCAGTGACTACATAACTATCTACTTTGAAAGCAAAAAGAATGGAGGTGCACAAGTGGTGGATGTTCAGCAACTGCACGACGAAGGAGCAGCTGTCATTACGTTCAGCGATCATAAAGGTAATGCAGAAATGCAAAAACCTTATTTCTTGTAGTCCTCTCACTTAGCAATCAAAATGCGGATTTGCTGAAGAAATAGCGACTTTGCCCTCATAAAACGGCAGATCTGCTGCTTTGTAAGCAGATCTCTGCCAACCAGAAGTGCAGACTAAAGTTTTGGACCAGCTGGGCGTGATGTATAGAACTCCTTTTCTTATGCAGTTTGTTTTTCACCCAGATCTCTCCCCTTACAGAGTTCAGGTTACATTTTAAATTCATTTGGGGAAAGCACAGCCCACACAGTGCAGAGCCTTCATCACTAGCTGCCCAATGGCAGTCTGCCTCATCTGAGGACAATGTATTGGACATTTTTTTGGCTAGACAACAAGTTACAAGCTTCTTTGAAAGGTGGAGAAAGGGATAGGTGGAGGAGCTGCAGAGAAGAGGAGAGCTAAGGGAAGTGGAAGAAAAGAAAGATAGCTTCTCCATATTTCCCCCCCAAAAACTATCTGTGATTTGATACTGCTGAGTAATAGCCCAGAAAACTATTGAGTTAGCCACTTTGAGTAGAGCATAACAGAGATGGGGACAAAAACAGCCCTGTGCTATATTTGTTTCCTCCTGGAGATGGACAGTGTTGGTTCTTAACTGGCTCTCCCTAGTTTAGTTTTTGGCATTTAACACTAGTAACTCTTCAATAATTTGGAATTATTTTTATCTGGGAAGGTAGGAAAACTCATGTAAGACTCTTCTTATGCATAAACATTAATACATATTAAACTTTTTTTTATCTGTTTCTTTACTATTTTTCAAAGATCCTTGGTTTTAGGTGCTAATGTTATTTTTTTCGTCTGTTTTGCTTGTTTTAGATGTAAACAATGTCTTGGAAAAGCAGCATTTACTCAACAAAACACCCATCTCTGTCTATCCTTACTACGTGTCACTGGGAACAGCTCTATATGGAAAGGAAGGGCCACCAATAAAGATGCCAGATCCAATTTCAGTGCCACTGGATCCCTACATCTGTCAGTTCTTATGGAGAAAAAATGGCCTAACTGAGGCGATAAGTTCCAAACTGGCAAATTATAACTGTGAGATAACATGGCCTAAACCCAGTTGTGCAGAACCAGAAGTTATCTTGAAGTTGTCTTCAGCTGCTTTGTCTGAACCAAAGAGATCAGTGGCTCGACTGATCAGGACATGGAATGAAACGGTTTCCACAGCGTTTTCACATAGCATATCAAAGTATGTAGCCATTAAATACCAAGTAAGTGCAGAGGTGTGGGAAGCCATTAAAAAAAGCTTTGTCCACGATGAACTTTTGTTAATCCCAAGTATTTCCAAGGATATCCTTGTCGTAGTAGGTGACAAAGATGTTCTAAAGGATGTTGAACAGGAACTGAAGTTTCTCATAGAAAAAACCACCAGAGAAATCGAACGACAAAAGCAAAGAACTGAAGACATAGTGGTGATAAATCCAGGGGATTTTGCAGTTTTACAGAGTACTGGTCTTGAAGAAAAAATTCACATGGAATTTCCAGCTCTGCAGGTAACTTATGATAGTACGCAGAAGATAATTAACCTGTGTGGAGTGCCCGAGGAAGTTTATAAAGTCAAAGGGGAAATACTGTTTAACATGCACAACATAGCAAAGAAAACCATTAGTATCCATCCTTACATTTTCCAGTTTTTACAAAGTGTTGATAATGAAATCCTGTCACAGAGCCTGTTCATGTCAAAACAAATTAGTGCCTTTTATGAGCTTGGCACAGATGCTGTCATCTTGAAAGGGAATGGTGCTGAAACTCTCTTAAAAGCAGAGGAAGAAATGAAAAAGGAACTGGACTATAAAAGCATTGCTTTGGAGGATGAGTCAGTCCTTGAGAAGAAGGAATGGAAAATGCTCACCCAGCAGAACTACTCCAATGAAGCTGTAGTGGTCACTCAGATAGGGAGTGAGATCATTGTTGCTGGTTGTTCTCAAGCAGTAGGAAAAGCCTTTGAGGAACTCTTTGACTTCATAGATGAAAACACACAAATAGAAAAGGTCATCAGAGGGAAGCCCACCGTAGTCATAATGTACTTTGAGAAAGAGAAGACCTCTGTTCGGGATGACTTAAAGAATAAAGGTGTGAAAGTGGACTTTTGCACGCAGGAAAAACGCAGAGTTATATCCTTGAGTGGGTCAAGAAGGGAAGTGCAGAAGGGAGCCACCGTAGTTGAGCAAATCCTGTCCAGCCTGCATTATAAGCGTGTGGTAATTAACGAGCCAGGAGCCAAGTCGTATTTCAGAGAAAGAGAACACTTCTTTGTTGCCTGTTCGAAGCAAGATTTTAACTGTCTAATCAAGCTGGAAGAAGAGCCAGAAGAACAGCTGGAAGAACAACAAGGACACAGTAACGTAGGCAAGGCCCTTATGCAGGTGACCATGCGTGGAGTTTCAATAGGGGTTTACCAAGCTAACCTGTGCACTCATCATGTTGATGTTGTGGTGAACGCATCAAACGAGGACCTGAAACACATCGGTGGCCTTGCTGAGGCGCTGTTACAAGCGGCTGGTCCAGAGCTGCAAATGAGGTGTGATGAGCTGGTGAAGAGTTACGGCCGACTGCAGCCCGGCTCTGCGGTTATCACAGGTGCTGGGAAACTCCCCTGCAAAAGCATCATTCATGCTGTTGGGCCCCGGTGGAAAGGGGATGAAGCAGGAAAGTGTGTGTATTTGCTGAAAGAGGCAGTTAAAAAGAGCCTACGACTAGCTGAAACGTACAACCATCGTTCTATAGCTTTCCCTTCTGTAAGCGGAGGGATCTTCGGCTTCCCGCTGCAGAAGTGTGCAGAGACAATCGTGTCATCCATCAAGGAAACCTTGGAAGAATTCAGGGGGGAAAACAGCTTGAAGGAGATTCATCTTGTGGATGTCACAGCGGATAAGGTTCAGGCTTTCACCGAGGCACTGAGAAAAGCGTTTTTGTATTCTGAACCTTCTTCCAGATCATTCCGTGAGACCAAGGTAGTTCGTCAGCCTACCAAAAGGAAAGCTCAGACCAGCACGAGCTTCTCATCGGTAACAACTGAGGAGGGGCTTAACATCAAGCTGGAAAAAGGAAGCATTGAAGATGCTACAGTAAGTATTTTAAGTAGTAGGCTGTTTGTCCAGCTTGAAGTAAAGCACATTTTAAAATATGGGAGGGAGGGGAGAATAAAACAAAAACAAACAAAAAAAATTGCAGTAAAAAGATGGTGCTCGCACAGAAACAAAGCGGGGTGCTCAATGCTGGTTAACACAAATGCCCTGCCAAGTGGCTTGGCTGCTCTCAGATCCATCGGATCCATCGTGTCCCCGAGGCAGCGCAGCCAGGCACATCTCATCCTGTGCCTGTACTGAGCCCTCTGCCCAGAGCCAGCCAGGCTTGCCCAGTGTCTGTAGGATATTGATCTGGGGAACTGCTGCCCACTATGTCACTGGTGAAGGCTGGTGTGCTGTGTATGGCTGCTTTTTCCCCGTGAAGAACCAGCTTTGCTATTCATTCAGTTACTTCCAGCATTGACGTGCTGTTAAGTGGCCTGGGAGCTACTCTACTGCCATCAAAATACAGATACAGAATCCTCTCTGCAGCGGTCAGCTGATCCTTTCAGGAGCAGATGCGTCCCACAGCTTGTGCATACAGCTCCTCCAGTTGTCCAGAGCAGAATAAATATTTTAAAATGCATAGAGAGGTCTTTTCCAGAAGAGCTGAATACAGTGCTTGACACGATGCCTTTTCTATTTCTCTCCCTTCTAAATGAGTGCTTTTCTCACTTGTCTTTTTCCTTACATTTCCCCCAGTCTTGTTCTTTCTCAGCTTCTCCTTCTTTGCACTGACCAGGCATGTCAGCTGTGCTCCAGGCTCAGCAGACACAGGGGCTGAGCTGGAGCTTTGTCCTGCGTTACCTCTGTGATGCTGGGAGGAGGGCAACTTGAATGTAGTCTTCTGGTCTGTGAGTCTCTTAGGGACTAAACCTGCATGAATGTCTTTCGAATGGAGGTAGAGTTCTGCATTCCTGGTCTACTGATTCTAATTTTTCCTTGTCCAGTTTAAACAAATTTCACTGTTAACTCATCTGTTACACTGTTTCAGGCACGCTCATGGGATCAGAACTGAGCACAACTCTTCTGTTTTATTCCAAAGCTTTGTTCATTCCAATTGCTGCCCCAAAACTTTTCCTTGTAAATCAGCAGGCAGGCTGTGTTTAATTAATCAACGTACAACTTTTTAACTTGACTCTTAAGAGCTGGAGATTTTGCTTGTGTGTCTTTCAGACGGATGCTGTCGTTGTCACTGTTGCCAAAGATCTACAGCTTAATAACGGGCCACTTGGCAAAGCTTTGCTAAGCAAGGCAGGGACAGTGCTTCAGGAGCACTTACATGAAGAGGGCCTACAAAAAACAGCTGATGATGGATCTGTGTTCACAACAAAAGGTTACAATCTAGATTGCAAATTCGTATTTCACGCTGTCGCACCTGGATGGTCACAGAAAACTGTATCTCCAAAGAAGGTATAAGAGTCTTTATTTGCCGAAACTCTTAATTGACTGGGCTTTGTAGTGGATTTAATGCAACCTCTCCTTTGAAATGAGGGAGATGAGTGAGTTTGGGTTATACTTTTTTTCTAGCTGTGTAGCTTATCCCTTGTTGTCTAATACACTCCTTTTGATGTATATAATCACTGCAGTTTAATACCAAGAGATAGCAAAAAGGTAAAGTGCTAAATTGCATATTCTGGAAAAAAAGTCTTTCAGTAACTGAAAAAACTAATTGTGCTTTGCAGGTCTTGGGCAACATCATCACAGAATGCCTGCAGACTGCTGAGGAACTGTATTTAAAGTCAATTACTTTCCCAGCAATTGGGACAGGGAACTTGGGATTCCCAAGGTCTGTTGTTGCTAAATTGCTGTTTGACAAAGTGTTTGAATTCAGTAATAGAAAAAAAGTAAATTCTCTTAAGGAGGTTCACTTTCTGTTGCATCCAAAAGACAAAGAAAATATTCAGGTGAGTTACCATGTTTTTCTCTCTCTATTACATTCTGTTTTATTTGGGTCTGTCTCACGACACGTGGCTATCTGATGTTCTCCAAAGAATCTTCAGGCTGCTTGTTCTCATACTCACAGAATAAAGAAGAGCACAGTTTGCTGACGGTCTCTCTACCCTGTAGTGAAAGTTCTTCTCATGGTGCTTCTCCTGATAGTCACCTGCTTGTCCTGAACAGCCCTGCTTGTTTGCTGTCCTTTTCCATTCCTTGGCAGTAATACAGATGAAAGAGTAATTACTCTTTATCTTGTGAAGTCACATAGGGCTCACCTACAGGCAAATTTGCTGCAGCTTCTGCATAGATGTCTTCACTCTGGGGGGAAAAAGGAGTGATTTCTGTGGGTTTAACTAATGTCTTTCAGGAAGAATAATTATGCTAGGACTGTATGCAGGTAAACTTCTCTGGTAGAAAACATAAGAGTGTTCTGCATCCCTCTTTCTCCAGTATCACGTTAGTATAGATTTTTGATGTCTGTGCTCAAGTTGCCCATTTAACACATCAGTCTTTCAGAAGAGAGCAGTCACACTGTGAGGTAACATCCAAGTAAATGTTTTGGTATCTGATGAGTTCTGCCACTTAGTGCAGTATCTAACGCTTTTTCAAAGGCTGAACTTCAAGGCTACTGTGCCAAAGCCTGAGCTATTGTGCACAGAGAAGAATGGAATTAGCTGCAGGACTTGAGTTAGAGTGTAAATTAGTCCCTCAATGTAAGGATGATATTTGTTGATGTATTGCTTTGACTTAGTTGTCTATCAATTCTGTCTGTTGCTCACGCAGAATAACTGTGCTCTCTGAGAGCAACAGTGTGTCCAGACTTGCCATTAGCATTGTGGCAGATGATATGAAGTAATTTGCATTAAGTTCTTTCTACATGTCTCTTTAACTTTACTTTTCAAGCCCTTGTTTCTACTGTGTAACTTAAACTTCTACAGCAGTTGATCGTAATTTCCTTCTCTAGGAATTTTCAAACGAATATGAGAACCGATACGGGAATGGTGTAGACAAGACTGCTCCAGATGAGACTAGTCAAGGCACAGGTAATGTTTGTTTGTTTGTTTGTTTTTGTTTGTTTGTTTTTAAAGAAATTGTGTCCATGGTGGCTTGTTTCATTTATTTATTTTGCTCTTGAATATTCCAGAGCCAAACTGTGGTCTGTAGGGATTGTACCCATGAACAAGTCCCCTATCTTTTACCTTGTTGCTCGCTTCTGCTCAGTGTCTGTATCTCTTTTCTGCAGCTTTCTTTGGTCCCATTTCAACCCCAGCACAGGATGTATATGAAATGACAATTGGCTCCATCGTGTTCCAGGTGGCTGCTGGTGATATTACCAAGGAAAAGGGAGACGTCATTGTAAACATAACAAACCAAAGTTTCAGCCTCAAAGCAGGTATCACACGTGGAAACAGTACTTGTGGTTGGAAGGGCTGAATAAGGAGAGCAGGGAGCGTGGTTTCTTTTTATTTATTTATTTTGTCAATGTTTCAAAACCTCTTGTTTCACAGTGTGGTTTCAGTTTTGCTTCTTAGGGTCCAAAAGTCCTATTAGGAAGTGTCTGAAACTTTGTTGTCCTGTGCTACAGGATAACATGATAAAGACTTGCAGGAAATTGAAACTAATAACGTTAGAATTTCAATAGAATCTTTTTATGGAATATCTCTTGCACTAAGGAAGACTAACCTCACTGAGGTTTTGATCACAGTGAAGCTTTTTGGTGCTCTAGACATTTTGAATTGAAAAGCATAAGCCTAACTTTTAGACAAAAATGCTTCTCAGTTATAACCTGCACTGTTACCAGAAATGAGAGAGTAAGTGGTACCCAGTTCTGCCTTAGATAGGGCTTTAACAGGAGTAACAGAAGAATCACGTGCCTCTTCTCATTTAAGGTGTTTCTAAAGCAATTCTGGAAGGTGCTGGGAAAACGGTTGAAGACGAATGTGCTCAACTAGGTATGGTGCAATGTTTCTGACCTTTCTGAAGGGGTTCAAGCATGGCAGAGAGTTTGTTGGAAAGCATTAGTAAAGAACTAGATCTATTGTCACCTCCTCTTATTCCAGTAAAGCTTTGAGTGACGTAGGCAAACCTAGCCTACAGAGAGCAGAGCCATGAGCAGGGGATGATGCTGGCAGAATTGCTGATAGAGGGAGTCATACCTCACTGGGAGCAACTCTCTACCTGCAGCTTCTTTCCTCTTCCCTGAGTGAGAAAATAAATGTTTACTGTTGTCTTCACTAGCAACCCACTGCCATATCCTCTGTGTGACCAAGAGGGAAAAATAGTGAATTAGGATTCTTGCCTCAGAAGGGTCATTTATTTGTAGACCAAATTCAGCTAGTGAATGGCGAACCCGGTGAATGGGGAGTAAGGATGAAAAATTATGTGGTTTGAAAGCCTGGTTTGAGATGGGAGTTAAATCCCTGTTGTGCAGACAATTCAGGCTAGGCAGCCTGAAGGTAGGTGGCATGCTCCTTTGTGTAAATACTGAGTATAATACCTAGTCTGTGTGAATACCTTCGCATCTGCAGAGCAGGTTTGACAAATAAAGGCACACGAAACTTATTTGCCTAACAAGGCAAGCGTTTCTTAAATATAAAGCGAATCCTAGAAAGTAAAAATAAAGCGAGGGGGCTTGATCATGTGTGGAAGGAGACTTGAAGCTTATTCTGGGGCTTTGTCATCATTTATTTTCTCCTAATGAGGATTGGTACACATCTACATTGTAGATAATTGTTGATTGTTTCCTTTCTCCTCCTTGTTTCAGCCTTGCAACCTAACAATGGTTATATAACCACCCAAGCAGGAGGCCTGCCATGCAAAAAAATTATTCATGTTGTTAGCCAAGATAACATCAAGGTGTCAGTCTCCAAAGTGCTTCGGGAGTGTGAACTCCAGCAGTATGCCTCTGTCACCTTCCCAGCGATTGGAACAGGTTTGTGTCTCCCTTTTCGAACAGGTTCAGTGCGTGCGATTCTGTTGATCTCATGACTCAAGCAATGAGTTTGATTTGTCTGGAAGGGTTGTTGTTTGTTTTTAAAAACAAAAAGCCAAGAACGAGAGCATTCAGACATTAAAACTGTCACTGGAATGTTATGAACTCTTAAAGCTTCACTCTGCAGTCTGCTCATACATGAAAACTAGAGCTGATGCTTCCTTAGCTGATCCCTTGCTAACAGGGGTTCAAAGGTACGTCCATCCTTTTATGGAGAGCCATAAATATTTGTCACAGCAGCCTGATATGTGTGGGCAGCTCATCAGAGAACATCCAGGGAACTGGTTCTCCATTGGTGAAACCCATAGACGATAGAATTCCTTCTAGCTGATGCAAAAGTGGGACTGATACAGATGGAATGTGAACCTATCAAAAAAGGCAGATTATCCTTTTTTGTTTCATGTTGTTTTCAGTTAGTTCGGTAAAAATCCCCATTCTGCATTCTTTTACTGTAGGGACTCATGCATGAGTGGACCTCCTGCATGAATGAAAATAGACCTGTTATTGGAGCAAAGAGTTGCCTGCTGGCCCTCTGGCCTTTCAGTTAGCCAAGCCACATAATCTGCATCATAACCTTATCACTTGCCATGTCAATAGTAGTAAAATTCCATTTTTTCCCTTGCTGGAAAGATGGTCTTGAACTTCCTCTTCCTGATAGACTGAAACCTTTTTTAAATTGCCAGTCCAAAGTTACTTGTGAGTCATTTGTGATATAAATGATTGTGGGTATGAACATAACTCTTCTTTTAAAGATCTTTTAGTCTGCTGTAAGTTATTAATTGTTTTTAAAGGCAAAATATTTATAACTTGTTCCAGGTCAGGCAGGCTGTCTTCCAGATGTAGCAGCTGATCAGATGATGAATGCAATAATTGACTTTGCAAAGAGTAACACCACTCCATCTGTGAAAACTATTAAAGTTGTCATCTTTCAGCCACATCTGCTGAGTGTGTTCCATACAAGCATGAAGAAAAGAGGAAGTCCTGGTAAAACTAAATCCAAATCGTTCCTTTCCAGGTTAACATGTAAGTAGATGTCGCTCCTAAATAGAGGTTATAGATCAATCTTTAATGTTTACCATTCCCAGCTGGTACTAATTACAGTGTTTGTGTATTTCATTGTAGCACTCCTGAGCTCTGAGAAAGAGTCCCCAAAGCGAAATCGCAAAGCAGTTTTGGAAAAGAAAATTGATCAGGCTGTTGTTCAGATTTGTGGTGAAAACAAAAAACAGGTGGAAGAAACAGAAGCCTGGTTGAAAAGTGCAATTTTAAAGGAACAGTTTCACAGAGAAATCAAAAATGACTCTATCTTGGATTTTGGTGAAGCAGAGCATGAGGAACTATTTGAGCTACAGGAAAGTCTAAATATTGCTCTTTCATTGACAAACAACATCATTAAAATTTCAGGAGTTAGTACAGACGTCTGGTCTGCTTATTCAAGTATCCAAAACATGATCCACAGGGTAGAAGCTGCTAAATATGAAGAGGTCAAAGCAGAACTTTTAAAAAACTTAATTGAGTGGAAATACTTAGAAAAAGATTCCTATGTGCCATTTGACAGGCTGACAAATATGCACTTGGAAAATGCTTTGGAAGCAAAGAAGAAACAGATTTCAGTCACGATTCAAAACAAAAAATACATAGTGAACATAGCTGATAAATATGCTATTGATGACCAAGGACAACGTAAATCCATTATACGTATTGATAAATCTGAAGGTAAGTAAAAGCAGATTGACAGGTTGATACTCAAACATGAAACCAGGTTGCGTCTAGCCTAGTAAGAAATAAGAATATGTGAAATACTGCTAGGAGCTTTGTGCGGGTCAATTTCTGGAGAATGTAGATAGGAAATAGTGGGAAACAAAAATAAAAGAATCATGCAGATATTTAAAACTGTTAAAAATACAGTTAATATCTTCAGAGGTTCATCCTGCTGTCACTCAGTTTTCCAGGGGCACATTTTTAATCTTGACAGGAACAATTTATTTTCCATTCAACACTGGAAAATGAAAGTTGACAGGTTTAAGTAGCCATCCAATTCCCAGTGCCTTAATAATTCAGCCTGCATGTTCTTTCAAATATCTATTTATTTTTGTTTTATTACCAAAAATTGTCACTCTTGAAAGGATAAAGCCCTCTTCATTTGATGGAACCTAATGTGCAGGATGTTCTTAGCGTATGCATCAATGTTAGTGTTTGACAACAGAGCTCAGTACCAGGCCTCTCATGAAATGAGAGAGGGGAAGAATTCTGCCTTACAGACAGTATTTTCTTGGAGTTTTTAACTTAAAATCTCCCTTGTTCAGATGCTTTGTTCCTAGTTGAGAATTAACAGTACCTGTTTCCTTCCTAATGTGGGCAGAAAGCAACTGAAGAATGGATTGATGTGTTGTGCCCATTCCCAAACCCTTTAAGTACTCCGTATTTTTGAATTTGATCCATGTCCTTGAAAACTTGTTTTGCATGGAAGGCTACTGGCAAAAGGTGTACTGCAAATGGTTCCTCTTCAGTTGTGAAGGAGAACAGGTTCATCTAGGAGCTACCTATTTGGGCACATCAACTGCCAATGCAATGACAGCCTGGGAACTGAAACGTCCCACTCCTTTGGTTGGTTTTAAAAGAAATATTCTTGGGTGACAAAAGCCAACAGGCACTAGTGATAAGCTAGGTGTACAAGTTTTCAGAAGGGGTTGTAGCAGAGCATATTTCTCATTAAGTAGGGGATTTGGGTAATTGATTGTGTTTCTCCTGCAGATCAAGAAACCACAGTGCTCCCTGAAACGTGGGATGATATGCAAAACCTGCAAGTCAGGGTAGTGGAACTAAAACCAGAAACAAAGGAATACAAAGAGGTGGCAGAAAGGTTTATGAAGACCAGTCAGCATCTAAAAATTGAAAAGGTAAAAGCATGTCATAATTTCTAAGCATAAATACTTTGATAACAACTCATGAATAGTGACTAGTAAACAGTGGAAAAATAAATTCTGTTAGGACTTGTGGGACGAAATTCTATGGAAAAAGAAACAGGCACAGTTTCATCTGCTTTCCTAATTGACTTAAAATATGTTTTTAATTAATTGTCTGAAGAGAATGCACAAAAAAAATACCTGCACAGGTATTGAATGTGATGTTTATGACCTTCAAGCCTGTTGCAAAATATCTCCACTCTCAAGAAGCTGCTGCTTCTGACACCAAGACTTATGGTGCTTGAAAACATGTCAGGTAGGGTGATTTTAATGGAAGTGTGTATGGTCTTTGGTCATGTAGATATTATGCATTTCACTCTTCTGCTTATTCAAGTGTCAAAACTCAGCAAGCAGAGGGGATTCCCTCTCCAGAAACAAGTGAAAAGCAATTTGTTAATGAAAGCTGTTACTGCTTAGGTCTATACAAATACTCTTCCTAAAATCTTCCTGTTTCAGCACTACTGACTGTTTGCTTCTGGTAGCATAGGAGCATGCGCCAGACTGGTTGCCAGTGTGTTAATCCTCAAGAGGGTAACCCTGACTTGAGCTGGCTTGATTATATGAAGCCAGTTTTGACATTATGTTGGTATCCAGTGAATTTTCTGCAGTCAAACTGTTAGCTTCAAGCATTAGCTACTCCTAATTACATACATCTGTATATAAGTGTCACTTACATACATCTGTATATGTGTCACTTACATAGGCATCTACTACTCAGCAGTAAAGTTGCACAAGAGGTTATTCGGGACATTTCCCCAAAGAATAAGAAATTAGTGGCAGTAATACAATTTGTTTTACCAACTTTAATCAGCATCAATTTGATGTTGCATCAAGTTAAAGTATTTGGAGAGAGTCTTAAGCAATTGCTTCTAAAGTTTCATTAGATCACTTTTGCTATAGTAGAGCAGAGCATTTTCTGCTTTGACCCATATGTGCTTGGCAGGTAGGTGTGTTGCAAGTTTCTGGGTCATACACAAAACTATCCCATATTATTTCCCTGTTGCATTTTGGGTTGGGTTCTGCTGTCTGTTGTGCTGAAATCTGGAGTGATGTGCCTAAATTATTTTATAACGTAGCTTACATGTGCTGTAGCTAGGAGTAGAATCTTGGAACACTGAATCGTTGATACATTGATGCTTTTTATGATGACAAGCTAAAAAAAATAAATGTCTTATTTTCAAAACGTCTTATTTTCAAACTTTGCAGATTGAAAGGATACAGAACCCATGTTTGTGGAAGACCTACCAAATAAAAAAGCATCAAATGGCTGTCAAAAATACCAATGGAGATAATGAGAAGCTTTTGTTTCATGGGACAAGTAAGGAGTCGTTACCCTTAATTAACGGAACTGGATTTAATCGGAGCTATGCTGGAATGCACGGTAATGTGAATTTCAAAACTGCTTATTTCCCTGAATAGGGCTAGGAATAACTCATGTGTAGTCCTGCCTTGCATGCAAAGTGTTTTGTTTTGTTAAATCTCCCTATTGCCATCATTAGAACCTGTGAATCTCTTGGTGGGTAAGTGTTATTAATGAAATACAATTTATTTTTCCGACTATAGCTGCAAACTATGGAAATGGAACTTACTTTGCTGTTCATGCCAGCTATTCTGCCCACGACGCCTATTCTAGACCAGATGTGGATGGAAAGAAGTACATGTACGTGGCCCGAGTACTTGTTGGAGAATATTCTCAAGGGTACAAAGGATCAGTTACTCCAGCAGCAAAAAGTGCTGGCAACACCGTGGACCTGTATGATAGTTCAACTGATAACGTAAACAACCCATCCATGTTTATCATATTTAATGACATTCAGGCTTACCCAGAATACCTTATCACTTTCACTAGATGAGCAGTTTGATAGCAGCAAAGTTTGTATGTCTCTTCATTTTATAAATCTGTCCTGCACATTAAATACATATATATAGATCAGTGAAAACAAATAGTTTTATCAAACTAATTTCTTAAAGCTTGTTTATATTTAAGCAACCTTTGGCAATTTTTGATAGCACTGCCATAGACTACTTTTTTCCACTTGGAGCCATTGAACCTATCTAACAGGAGTTCAATTTGACATGTAACCTAACTGTAGTTCTCAGTAGAAATCCTACACCTGTCCACCCCCTTCATGCTATCTTGGCCTTTCCATGCAGCCTTCTGGCCATCCTAGTTGCAATAACGAGTGGGCAGTGCTGCTGGGGGATTGAAAGAGACATTCTCTCAACCACTGACTGCATGGTGTTGCATTTCTGGTAGCTTCTCATACTCTATCAGAAATTATAATGCTGACTGTCATTTACTGTGGATTTCAATAAAGGAACTAATTGTAGTTAATGGCTTGTGTTTGCCTAAAACAATCTCTCGAGATATTTAGCGTTGGTTTTCAAAAGTTCACTTTCAGGCAGCTACTTGGGGATTGAATTCTCTAATACGGTGTTGCTTGATTTTAATATGATAGCCCTCCTGGGCACGTCAGTAAGAGGTTCTGTAAACCTCACCCAACCCCTTCAGAAATTGGTTAATACCCTAATTAATTAGGTATAGCCTAAAAGAGCCATGAAAATAAACATAAGGAGGGTGTTCCTGCTCTTGTACACTGCCTGTAGTGCCCTTCCTGTGATCTTAAGGAGAAAAGAACAGGGCAAAGAAAGGCAAGGGGTGCGTGGGTTGGAAGAGGGGAGGTTTGTTTGTGTGTTTGTTTGTTTGATTTAAGGCCTTTTTGATAAGGCTTGAGGAAATAGGTTATTTCAAAGAGGTAATCATTAACCAAGCCAAAGTTCAGAGTTTCACTGGGGGCGGGGATGAATCAGAGCAATATAATCTCTGTAGCGTGGTGATAGAATGAAAACATACTTCTAACAGCATCGGGTGGTGTGAGATCTACCGAGAAAGCGGTGTGCTGCAGCACCTCCAACTTTTTAACAGTTCTTGGCTCTGCAGAATTTATCAGGTAACCTGCACTGTTACCAGAAGACAGAGAGTAAGTGGTACCCAGTTCTGCCTTAGATAAGGCTTTAGCAGGAGTAACAGAAGAATCACGTGCCTCTTCTCATTAAAGGTGTTTCTAAAGTGATTCTGGAAGGTGCTGGGAAAGCAGTTGAAGACGAATTTGCTCAACCAGGTATGGTACAATGTTTCTGACCTTTCTGGAGGGGTTCAAGCATGGCAGGGAGTTTGTTGGGATGCTTTCTCAGTGCCTGCTGCACATCCATCTGTCTTACGCGTTGTCACATGAGCTAGTATTTAGTCAGTTAATGTGTTATTTGTCAAATAATCTGATGGGTGAAGGAGAAGACATTTCTCAAGAAGAGAGAGCGTCTAAGCCTACGTAAAGAACTAGATTTATTATCACATCCTCTTATTCCAGTAAAGCTGTGAGTGACATAGATCAAATCTACGGAGAGCAGAGCCATGAGCAGGGAACAACGCTGGCAGAATTGCTGATAGAGAGAGTCCCTCTGGGGAGGGACGTATTGGGCCAGGACCTTGGGGACAGGCTGAGAGCCCCACCGAGCCCCTGAGGAGCACCCCTTTGTGGGCAGCAGGCAGCTCTGGGGGGAGAAGGCAGCAGGATGCTGTGCTGGCAGCATTTGGGGTGTTGGGATTGGGGTGCAGGCAGGCAGTGCTGACCCTGTGGCTGCAGGAGTAGCAGGGGACGCTGGAGCAGGACAGGCAGACCCCACTGCGTGTGACTGGAAGGATGGGGACGTGCTGGATGTGCTCCTGGAGAACATGGGCAGCCACAGCCCAGAGCACCTCGCCCTCTGAGGCTGGACAGGGTCTGCACTGGGGAGGAAAGGAGCCCAGACTCAGGGCATTTTGCATGAATCCCCCAACACAACCCAAACAGCTTCCCTCACACACACACGCAGGGTTCAAGGCACCTCTTTATTGACAACGCAGGCAGAAGAGGTAGTTACTAACACCATGATGCAGCTGAGGTCCAGCGGCGTTTAGGAGAGGGAAGGGTAAAGCACAGCCTCGAGGGGGCCTGCAGGCACGAGGGCTCAGGACCCCATCCATCCTCTGGCCACAGGCAGCAGCTGCAAGGTAGCCATGAGAGCAGCAGGCTGGGTCCAGGCCCCAAAAAAGCCCTGGCCCTGTGCATCAACCTAGCCTGGCCTCCCTGCTGTAGCATCCTCCCGTGAGCAACACTCATGCCCACTCCTGCCATAGCTGCTGCAGCGTGATGTGGCAACCTCGGTCCCTTCCCAGCGCTGCTCCCTGGCTCTCCCGCAGTGCTCAGCTGTGTTTCCACCGCCTTGGTCCTTGGAAGATGGCCCCAGGCTTACGTGTGGGCAGCCCGGGCCCGCCGGTGGGTTTGCAGGCAGGTGGTGGAACAGAAGGAGAAGTCGAGGTAGTGGAAGGGAATCCGGCCCAGCAGGGACTCCCCGCAGTGCCAGCAGCGACTGTAGGAAAGAGAGAGGTGGCCCTGAGCGAAGGGGATGCTTGCAAGAACAGCAGGGGGACAGACGAGGGACATTTAGGGGCTGAGCTAGGGACTGGGAGGTGAAGGAGCAGTCCCACAGCACCAGTGTGCTCAGGCACAGGGTTCACCTAGCACAAGGCACCTCGAGGCAGGCTGAACACGGTGGATTTGGGCCCCTTATGGGGTTGTTAAACCCCCTCCAAGATCAGCACATGCAAAGGGAAGGGACTTTGCAGGTGGGGTGAGAGAGGGGCAGAAGGGAGGCTGGGGGCCTGGCTGCAAGTAGAGCGAGCTGTCTCCCGTAAAATATTTTGGGGGGGCAGGGGACAGCAACCACCCTCCTCTTGACATCCAAGCTGCCTGGGCTGGTACCTGATGTTGGAAATTGTTGTGGCCCCGTCCTGCTTCTGTTCAGCCAGCCTCCGCTCAGCAGCCAGGGCCCGCTGGGGAGCAGAAGATAGGTCAGCACCCCAAGAGCCGCTGTGCTGGATCCCACAGCATCAGCACTGCCCCAGCCAGGCTGGATCCCGTTCCCTGTGCCAGGCATCACCTTCTCCCTGTCGGACAGGGCTGCGAAGCGCTGCTTCTCCCCTTCCTCCTGCTCCCAGCGCTGCCGCTCCTCCCGCTGCGCCTGCTCCCTCTGCTTCCGCTGGGCTTTCTGCGCCCGCTTTTTCTCCAGCTTTTTGGCCTCCATCTCCAGGGTCAGGGGCCCCGGCACCTGAGGGCAGCACGGGTTGGGGCTAATCAGTAGCTCCCAGGAGCAAAAGGACGAGTGGGTAAGGAACAGGACGCTTTGCTCTGGGTCCCCCAGAGGGCGAGGGCAGGCACGCACCTTGGCCCGGCCGTAGTCGTACTTGTCCGGATGGTCCACCATGAATTTGCGGAAGGTGTTGCGGGTGGGTTTGTCAGCAGAGACGCAGTAGGGGGTCCTCTCCTGGCGGTCTCTGTGCAAAAGCAGGGGGAGCAGCTCAGCCCTGCCATCTCCTTGCCTCGTGGCCCACCGGGCTGTGAGCACAGCGACCCCCTGAAGGTGTCCAACGGGTACAGCGGGCTGGCGGAGGGGAAAGGCTGCATATCCCCACCCTGCTGTGCCCTGCAGCCTTACCTGAGCGCAGGGTCAGCCCCAGCTTCCAGCAGCAGGCGCACAGCCTCAGCCTTTCCAGCACGTGCAGCCACATGAAGCAGGGTGAAGCCGTCCTCGTCCAAGGGCTGGTTGAGCAGGGAGCGGGGCAGATCCAGGTGCTGTGCATCCTCCCCGTCCTCGCTGTCCTCCAAGGGCCCCCTGCCCTCCGGCACGCCCAGGAGGTGCTGCAGTGTCCCCACGTCCCCCGTCTTGCAGGCTGTGAACAGGGTATCGCGGAGCTGGGTCCGAGGGTCTCCTGTGAGGGAGGAACAGCAGAAGAGTCTGATGCTACAGGGCTGTTTGGCTGCCAGGGCAGAGCAGTGCTCGGGGCTGAGCAGAAAACCAACACGGTGCTGTTTAAGGCATCATCCTGACGGCTGGATTTGGGCCCTGCAGGACCTCCACACCTTCAGCACCCGTGACAGGGCACCATGGCAGGGCTGAGAGCAGCCACGCTCTCTGCTGAGATGAAACCCACCCCGACCCCATGCCCATGCCTTAGCCAGGTGCTGCCTGCCTCACAAAGCAGGAGCCAGGGGAACAGACCTGGTGTCCCTGGGTACTTTCACTCGAAGGCACGTGGCTGCACTGCAGCCTCTCTGGCACCCAGAGTTACAACTTTTTCCTCCCAGCACACAGTGCCCAGCTCCAGACCCCGCTCACCTCCAGCCCAGGGAAGGGGCTCAGCCTCAGCCTCTTCCTGCAGCTCTGCCACCAGCTCCGGGCCTGGCTGCCCACCCTGGCTATCGGAGCATCCCATTTCTTCGGCGTGGAGCCCTGCACAGGGAGAGAGGGGTGAGGGAAAGGGCCACAGCCCAGCCTGCACCCCAGGCACAGTTCTCCCCCCTCACCATTCTCCACTTTCTTGTTCCTCTTCTTCCTCCGCTTGCGGTTTCGCTTGGGCATCACTTCGAACTCCCGGAGGTCTAAGGTCCCCAGAGTCACTTCCACAGTCTCCAGTTCCCCTGCGGGGCTCTCTTCCTCCTCCTCTTCCTCATCCTCTGGGGCTGAGGGAGGTGAAAGGACATGGGCTGAAGCCCCACACACAGCATGAATCCTTTGGGGCTCCCAGCCAGGCACACCTCCCCCTTCTGCCCAGCATGAGGCCACTCTCCGCAGAGGACCCGTTGCAAGGATGCAAACCTGTTGGCCCGAACACCAGCCTCCTCCTCTTGCTCAGAGCCACGTCACCCTTCGCAGCTCAACTCACCGCTTGCGTCCTTTTGCAGGGGATCCGCTCCAGCTGCCCGCTGCTGCTTCTGCCACCCTTTCCGGGGGGACCCGAGGATGTCCTCCAGTGGCGTGTCCTTCCCTAGGCAGTACGGGTGCTCCTGTCATTGCCCGGGGACAGGGAGCACCCCGTGTCCCCGGGGATGGATGGATGGAGGGCAGGAGAGCTGGCACCTCCACCCCGTAACGCACACGGGGTCACGAGAGGGACCGTGGCACCCCAGCTGCTCTGAGCACCAGGGCTGGGCCGACTCACCGTATACCTGCAGGGTGGCCAGCGCGGCGTGAACCCGCAGCACCTCCCGCAGCGTGGCCCTGCGGGTGCTGAGGGGGATGTGGCAGATGCGGGGGTCGCCCCGGCTGAGCGGGGGGTTCCTGCCGCCAAAGAGCAGCGCCCGGTTGTGACGGGGGGCCCGGAGAAAGATGCGCTGAGCCTCCTCCAGGTGCTGCGCCCAGGCTGTCAGCAGGTCCTGAATGTCCTGTGTAGGAAGGGGAGGCACCGCGGGGTCCTGAGCACACAGCGTGGGCACAGGCAGCTCTGGAACAGGCACAGACCCAGGACAGAGCTCCCTTGTGGAGCTCACAGCCCGCACACGACCTCTGGCAGCAGCACAGCACCCTCACAAAGTGCTGGCCACGAGCACCTCTCCCTGCCAAAAGCTCAGGGCTGCAGTCCTTCCTCACCTTGAGCAGCGCGGCCTCGTTGTAACGCCGCAGGGAGGCTCCAGCAGACCTGGGTGCTGACCCTGGGGTCTGGGCGTCCCGGAGGCTCTGGGCTGTGCCTCGCCGGGCTCGCACCGTATAGCGGTGGAAGGTCTTGTGTTCCTGCACCTGGGGGCTGCAGAGGGGGGCAGACGTAAGCAATGGGAGCTGTGCACAGAGAGGAGGTGAGCTGATGCTCCCTGGGACCCCAAAGGTTAACATTTCTCCCGCAGTGCAAGTGGGGTTAGCCAGCCCTCCAGAGAAGAGGAGCTGCTGGTGCCCAGGCTGCGGTAAGCACTGCGATGGAGGAGGGAGGTGCTGGCCTTCAGGGAGAGAAGAAGAGCTCCTTCAACACCTGGACCCACTTGTCTCTGCCCAGAGGGGCAACCCCAGCCCCGTTCCCCCGTACTCACCCCCGGAACACAGCTCCTGCGAAGTGCCCGCCACCCATCATCAGCACAACCCAGCAGGTGTTTGTGCTGAGGCTCTGCAGTGACGCTGTCAGCTCCTCCGGCTCCTCGCTGCCACCCTGAGACAGATACCGCTGCTAGCACCTACGGGATCCCCTTGCTGTCCCCCAGGACAGAGCACACCCCCCTGCTGGCACATGCATCACCCCCGTCACACTCCTGGGAGCGTCTCATCGCCTGGGGCTCTGACCTGGTGAGCAGAACCCACCCTTCCCATAAAGGGCCACCAGGGATTTTCGGGCAGGTGAAAGCTACACCCCAGTGCTCCCCCTCTTCTCTGCGTCCCCTCTCCCAGCCCGCAGGGCCGTGACTTGCCTTCCCCGTGCTCAGCACGCAGCGGTAGGCGGAGAGGAGCTGCCCGCTCGCGTTGCGCAGCAGCACCTTGTGGGAACGGGGCAGCTGCGGGGGCCCGGGGCTGCTGCTGGCTGGGGGCTGTGGTTCGGACTCGCTGCTTGCATCTGAGCTCTCCGAATCAGACCCCGAGATGCTGGAAATATCACCTGCAGGGAAGATGAGATAGGACAGCGGGGCAGGACAAAGATCAACAAACAGCCTCCCCAAAAGTTTGGCCCTACGGACCTGCCCACAGCCCTAATATGTCTTGTGCAATACCCTGCGTATCACAAGGAGGCTGTGGGCAGGGGAGATATGGGGTCTGGGGCTCTGCACCCCCAGCTATGCACCAGCAGGGGCTCAGGCAGACCATGACAGGCCAGCAGGGCTCAGGAGCAGCGATGAGGCCTCCAGAAGCCCTCAGAAGAGCTGTGAACCAGCCCAGGCAGCTGAAAGCTGAAAAAACAACCCCAGAGAGGCCCCTGATGGGCTCTGGGCCCTGATGGGGCGTCCCCATTCCTCACCTGCGCTGGTTTTCTCCTCAAACACCTCCATGGGCAGCGTCCGGCGCCCCAGGAGCCGCTGCTTCAGGTTGAAGCGGTGCCAGTCGAGGCGGTAGTGCTCGACCTGTGGGGATAAGAGGGGTCAGCCGGCGGGGTCCCGGAGCCCCACAGCACCCACCCCAAGAGACCCCACACGTCCCAGCAGCCCTGCGGGGCGCTCGGACCCCTCCTCACCTGCTCCTCCCGGCTGCTGAAGCGCTGGGCGCAGGCTGAGCACCACAGCCCCTCAGGGACCTCGGGGACATCAGGGATATGAGGGACATCGGGGACATGGGGGACATCGGGGACATGGGGCACCTCGGGGACCCCGCCGCCCTTCTCCTGGCCGGGGCTGGCAGCAGCTTGCCCTGAAAGAAGCACAAAGCAGCTGTGCAGGGGGGCTCGGGGACCCTTTATGGGGTTTGCCAGGCAGCAGCAAGCCCCCCAGGGGGTCCCCACTCACCGTCCCCTGCCAAGGCGAAGCGGGTGACAAGGGACAGCCCGTGCAGCAGCGCGGCGTCCTGGGCGGCGAGGAACACCGAGAGGCTGCGGGGCGCCGCCATCCCCCCCCGGGACCTCCACGGGGACCCTCCAGGGACCCCCCCCCTGGTCTCTTTGGGGTCCCCCCCGGCGGTGATGGCAGCCCTAAGCCCCGTCCCCCGCTCCGCCCCGCTCCGTCACATCCTTCTCCTCCCCTACCGGCCGCCGCCATCCACTGGTCGGAGTTGTGGGGCGGCCCCCGAAGGGGGGGACACCGCTGGTGGTGGTGGTGGTGGTGGTGGCCGGGGGGGGGTGTCCTCGGGGGTCCCGGCCATGGCTCAGCTGGAGACGCAGTACCAGAGGCTGGAGAGCTCCTCCACGGAGTCCCCACCCGGCGGTGGAGACCTCCTGGTGCACGTCCCCGAGGGAGCCAAGTGTGAGCCGGGGGGAATGGGGGCACCGGGGGGTATCGGGGAGAATGGGGGGGGAACGGAAAAAAGGGGCTGGTGTAGGGCCCGAGGGAACGGGGGTGGGGGGTTGGGGTTATGGGGAGTGTGGGTGGGAGGCTGTGGGGTCAAGGGGACTGCAATGGGAGGCTGGGGGGCTGCTAAGGGAGCAGGGGTAGGGGTTTGGGGTCGGGGGGCACTGGGGGTGTGGGGTTGTGGGGTTGGGGGCAGCGGGGTGGTGTTGGTTTGCGTGTTCACCCTGTCTCTCTCCCTTCAGCTCCGTGGCACCATATAGAGAACCTGGACCTCTTCTTCTCTCGGATATCCTTTCCCAGCTGGGCATGGCTTGGAGCTGGGGTGGGGGCTGCCCCGTCCCCCCCAGTGACTCCAGAGGGGCTGTGGGGTGACAGACCCCCTGTCTGTGGGTGTCCCTGCATTGTCCCACAGCTGAGAGCTTTCCTGAGTTTGTGCCCTGTGCTGGGACATAATCCTTCTCTGAGGGCTGGGTGGGGGAAGAATGGGGTCGGAGGGAAGGGGTCTCCAGATTCTTCTCCTTGACGGTAGCGTTCACGTCTATAACCTGCACCAGAAGAATGGCTTCACCTGCATGCTCATCGGGGAGATCTTTGAGCTCATGTAAGTGCAGGCTGCCCCTCCGTTGGGACCGTGACAGCTGCTGGGGAACGGTTACCGCACTTGGGTGGGCAGGAGGATGCCCTTTACAGTCATCTTGTCCACCCCTCGATAGAGTTACCCGTGCCGAAACCTTCGGTTCATTTTGGGGAACTGTTGCCGTGGCAGTGTGTGACCCTGCGTCTTCGTGACGTGTCACGCTGTGTCCTGCCTGCGTCACGTTTTGCGGGGGCAGAAGCGTGATTCCCTCACGGCTTCTCCCTTTCTTCACAGGCAGTTCATCTTCGTGGTGGCCTTCACCACCTTTCTTATCAGCTGCGTGGATTATGACATCCTCTTCGCCAACAAGGCAGTAAATCACAGCCAGCATCCCACGGAGCCCATTAAGGTGACTCTACCTGATGCCTTCCTGCCTCCAAATGTCTGCAGTGCGAGGTAGGCACTACCAAGGGCACGTGAGCCACTGCTCTTCTTCAGGTGCTAAGATCTCCTTCCCTGGGCTCGATTCCCACTCTGTGCTCTTCCTGCTTGCAGAATCCAGGCAAACAGCTTCCTCATCTGCATCCTGGTGATAGCTGGAGTTTTCTGGATCCACCGGCTTGTCAAATTTATTTACAATATCTGCTGCTACTGGGAGATCCACTCTTTCTACATCAACGCCCTCCGCATCCCCATGGTGAGTAGCTGGGCCGAGGGCTGCACGTGGTGCTGCTGAGGGAAGCGGGAGGCGTGTGGCGAGAAGCAGCTCACCTCCACTCCTCTCCGTGCTCAGCTTCTCTGGGAGGCTTGTGCTGAGCTCTTGTCCCCCTGCTTCAGCTCATCCCAGCCTGTGTGAGTGCATGGCAATCCCTCCAGCAGCCAACGCACTGCCTGTGAACCCCTCTGCCCAGCTCTCTGTGTTGGCACGAGCTTCTGCCATCTGCCACCCAGTATGTTTATTCTCCTGCGATGGCCTTTTCTGCGGTGCCTTTCAGCAGAAGGGACATCAGTGAGGGCATTCTCAGGCCTCCCTGGGAAGCAGAGAGCAGCAGCTTCCTCGTTTACTGGAACTGTGATGGGGAAACTGGGGCGTGGAGCTACCTAGCTGCTGAAGACAGGCTGATCAGTGTGTCAAAGCTGGGCTTTGAGGCTTGCACGTACATCCTCGTCCAGAGTCCTTGCTCTGACAGACAACGCTGAGGGGTGTGTGCGCGTGTTTTGAGGAGAGATTGTGTCTTGAGAAAGATGGGGTGGAGCCACGAGGCCTGGGTTGTCCCCAGTTTTTTCACAGGCTCCCTCTGGGGTGCTGGTTGAGTCCCTTCCCCTGTCTGTGCCTTGCTGCTGACTCCAAACGCAGGACTGTGAGCTCTGGGAGGATCCACATGAGGCTGGGCCTGTGCTCCTGCCTCCCCGGCAGCTGGAAAACAGCCACCGCCATAAAGTGAGGGGGAAAGGGCACTGGGGCAAGGCGTGGGGTTTGCTCGCTGCTGCAGGCTGAGGCAGTGCAGGAAGAGGTGCCTGATGGCAGGATTTCGGCTCATCCACGCCCCGAGATGTGCTCTGGGACCCGCTGTTTGGGTGGGCCCAGCCTGCCCCTAACCTCGCTGCTTTCCCCTACAGTCCAACCTGCCCTACTACACCTGGCAGGAGGTGCAGGCCCGCATCGTGCAGATCCAGAAGGAGCACCAGATCTGCATCCACAAGAAGGAGCTGACAGAGCTGGACATCTACCACCGCATCCTCCGCTTCAAGAACTACATGGTGGCCATGGTGAACAAGTCGCTGCTGCCCATCCGCTTCCGCCTGCCCCTGCTGGGAGACACCGTCTTCTACACGCGGGGGCTCAAGTACAACTTCGAGCTCATCTTCTTCTGGGGGCCTGGCTCCCTCTTCGAGAACGAGTGGAGCCTGAAGGCCGAGTACAAGCGGGCTGGGAACCGCCTGGAGCTGGCCGAGAAGCTCAGCACTCGCATCCTCTGGATTGGCATCGCCAACTTCCTCCTCTGCCCTCTCATCCTCATCTGGCAGATCCTCTACGCCTTCTTCAGCTACACGGAGATCCTGAAGCGGGAGCCGGGCAGCCTGGGGGCCCGCTGCTGGTCTCTCTACGGCCGCTGTTACCTCCGTCACTTCAACGAGCTGGACCACGAACTGCACTCGCGCCTCAGCAAAGGCTACAAGCCAGCTTCCAAGTACATGAACTGCTTCATCTCCCCGCTCCTCACCATCGTGGCCAAGAACGTGGCCTTCTTTGCTGGCTCCATCCTGGCGGTGCTCATCGCTCTCACCATCTATGACGAAGACGTGCTGGCAGTCGAGCACGTCCTGACCACGGTCACCCTGCTGGGGGTGGGCATCACGGTGTGCAGGTGAGCTGGGTCCGGACTGCCCCCCGTGCTGAGGGACTCCTAGGTTACAAGTGGACGTGAACCTGTGTGAGTGAAGGGCACGGCTTGGGGGCTCGGAGTGGGGCAGGCAGGAGAAGGGGGAGCTTGGACGCTGTGAAGATGCCTTCAGGGGTGATGTGATGGTGTGGGGGTGTTGCTGGAGCTGGACAGTGACATCCCGGGGCTGGGCAGGCAGGAGGAGTGAAGTGGGTTGGAGTGAAGGCCACAGGTGAAGCTGCGATGTGGGCCAGTCGCCCTGCCGCCCCAGGACGAGGTCTTCCAGGAACGCTGACGTTTTCCTGCCCTGCAGGTCCTTCATCCCCGACCAGCACCTGGTGTTTTGCCCAGAGCAGCTGCTGCGAGTCATCCTGGCACACATCCACTACATGCCTGACCACTGGCAGGGCAATGCCCACCGCTACGAGACCAGGGACGAGTTTGCCCAGCTCTTCCAGTACAAAGCGGTGAGCCTGGCACGCGAGGGGCTGGGATGGAAACTCTCTCCCATCCCTGGGCTGGCAGAGGATCGAGGCAGCTTTCTCAGAGACCCCCAGCCCCAGAAAACGGGCTGGAGCTGGCTTTGGGGGCTGGCAGGTTTCTTGACCTCCTCAGCCTCGCGCTGAGCCCGCCGTCTTTGTGCTCAGGTCTTCATCCTGGAGGAGCTCCTGAGCCCCATCATTACACCCCTGATCCTCATCGTCTGCCTGCGGCCCAAGTCCTTGGACATCGTCGACTTCTTCCGCAACTTCACGGTGGAGGTGGTGGGTGTGGGCGACACCTGCTCCTTCGCCCAGATGGATGTGCGCCAGCACGGCCACCCGGCGGTAGGTCCCGCAGGGAGCAGTGTGGGCCCCACACATCGTATCTGCTCCTTCAGGCACAGAAAAGGCTGTAAAGCACCACTCCTGGCAGCCGGGCTGCTTTTGCCCGGGAGACAAGGAGCCTAGGGGAGATGGAAGATCCTTTCCCTTCGGAGAAAACCTGGAGTGACAGAGGATCGGTCTGTGTGCTGTGCCTCATGCGGGTTGCTCGTCAGGAAGGACTCCCTAGTGAAAGGGACAGGAGCTAGGGAGGGGTGGTCTCGCTGTGGCAGCTTTTAAGAAGTTATTTGTTGGCTGCAGCTTCTCTTGCTGCGGGTTTCAGCTCCGTTCGTTGTGACCGGCCCTCATCTCTCTAGTTCCCTTGGATATTTTGGGATGGAGGTGGAAGGTGGGCTGCAAGGGCTGTACTAATACAGGGCTTTTGGTACAGTGCTCGCCTTCTGCACGGAGCTGTGGCCCAGCTTGTGCTGGTTGCTTTCCCCAAACCAGCTGTGGGATTCCTGGGCTCGGCACGGGCATAAAGCACATCCTGACCCTCTTTATCTCTCTGTGCTCCGCAGTGGATGTCAGCAGGAAAGACGGAGGCCTCCATTTACCAGCAGGCGGAGGATGGCAAGACGGAGCTGTCCCTCATGCACTTCGCCATCACCAACCCCAAGTGGCAGCCGCCCCGCGAGAGCACGGCCTTCATCGGCTTCCTCAAGGAGCGGGTGCACCGCGACAGCAGCGTGGCGCTGGCCCAGCAGGCTGTGCTCCCCGAAAATGCCCTCTTCAGCTCCATCCAGTCCCTGCAGTCGGAGTCGGAGGTGCCTGGGAATGGGGGGGGACGTGGGGTGTTCCTAGGGTGCGAACAAGCTGTAATAATCAGAGCTTCTGGGCAAAGTTTGCCCTTGTCTGTGCTGGGATGTGAAACGTGGTGGATCAGCACTCGTTGGGACTGCTTCTGGCTCTCTAGGGAAGGGCCTCCAGGTCTCTGCGCAGGGCAGTGATTCTCCCTCTGTTTTGACTCTGCAGCCTCACAGCCTGATTGCCAATGTGATAGCGGGCTCCTCGGCGCTGGGCTTCCACGTGGGCCGTGATGGGCAGGCTTCTCGCCACCTCTCCGAAGTGGCCTCGGCCCTGCGCTCCTTCTCCCCGCTCCAGTCTGCCCAGCAGCCCCCCAGTGGCTTCCAGACCGCAGGAAGGGCCGGAGAGGGCACCCAGCCTCGGGGTGCCAGTGCCATGACAGCTTCTGGGTAAGGGCATGCAGCAGCCTTGGCCGCCAGCTGCTGGAGATGCTGCAGAGCTCCTGTTCCTATCCAGCATGGGAGTCTGTGAGCCTGGCATTAGAGCAGAGAGGGGTCTGGAGGGGTGTTGGGGGCCGCCTGGGCAGCAAACCTCACTCGTGTTTCCCGTGGCAGTGCTGATGCGAGGACGGTGAGCTCGGGGAGCAGTGCCTGGGAGGGTCAGCTGCAGAGCATGATTCTCTCAGAGTATGCCTCCACCGAGATGAGTCTGCACGCGCTCTACATGCACGAGGTGAGCAGCCTGAAGCTGGGCTGGCCAGAGGGGTGGCAGGACCGGGGTGTCCTTCCTTGGGGGTTGGAGTGAGCTGCGGAGAGGGCCTATGGGGGAATTTGGGCTCTCCCCACATGGTTGACCTGCTCGTGTCTTGGCCCTGCAGCTGCACAAGCAGCACGCCCAGCTGGAGCCCGAGCGGCACACTTGGCACCGGCGGGAGAGCGACGAGAGCGGGGAGAGCGCCCACGAGGAGCTGGACGCTCAGCGGGGTGCCCCCGTCCCCATCCCTCGCTCTGCCAGCTACCCCTTCTCCTCGCCGCGGCAGCCTGCCGAGGAGACGGCCACGCTGCAGACCGGCTTCCAGCGGCGCTACGGTGGCATCACAGGTATGAGAGCCAGAGCAGGGGGCTGAGCTCCAGGCCCAAATCCCACAACCTGACGCCCTGTGCGGGTTGGCACGAGCGACCTGCTTGCCCCAGAAGACTGACGGCCCCCCCCTCAGCTAACTAATCTCCCTCCTCGCCTCTCCTGCAGACCCCGGCACAGTGCACAGAGCCCCGTCGCACTTCTCCCGCCTCCCCTTGGGAGGCTGGGCTGAGGACGGGCAGGCAGCGAGACACCCAGAGCCCGTGCCAGAGGAGAGCTCGGAGGATGAGCTTCCACCGCAGATCCACAAGGTAGGGGTGAAGGCTGCTGGCTCCGGATACGGGGTGAGGGTGCCGGTGCCAGGAAGGGCCACATCCCTTCTCTGTCTTGCAGGTATAGCCTTGTAGACTGGGGATCTCGTGGGGGATGCAGACTGGGGGCCGCCTGGGCAGCAGGATGCGGCGTCAGCCTGGTTCTTCTCCCATCCCGAGGGGACCGGGTGGTCGCGGGCTCCGTTTTATTGCCATCCTTTTGCCGGAGAGAGACAAAGCTGCCGGGCCGGCGGCTCTGCGGCGGCAGCGCCTTGTGTCCAGCCAGCGCCACTCTGACTCTCGTGGGGTGGACGCGTGTGTGAGTACATAACCTGTGTCTGTGTTCACGTCTGTGTCGTCTGTGCCGGAGGATCGCTGCGGAGCCTGGGACAGCGGACGGGACGGGACTGGCAGCGACGGGCGCGGAGGTGGCGGCTGCTGGTGGCAGACATGGGGAGAAGGCACCAGCTCCAGCCGGCCGCGGGGAGCTGGGAGCTGCCTCCCGAACGAAGGCAGGGAGCTGGAGACTCCTGGGGCTGTCGAAGGGGGCACTGCCTGCAGCCCTGGGGGTGCCCAGCGCCGCGTTCCCCCTCCCAGAGAGGACCAATGTTGCGCCCCTCTGGCTGGAGCAGGACAGCAGCGGGGCAGTTGCCCACCCGTTTGCCCCAGCGCCCTGCAGCAGGATGCCCCCAGCTGCTGCTCTGCGTGTCGGGCTGGGACCTAGAGCTGCTGGCAACAGCTCCGGGCTGCGGGGATGCTGCAGCTCCTCCCCGGCTCCCATGACGGCTGCCCTGGTGCAGGCACACAAGGAGGGGACCTTGGGGTGGCAGTCCTGGCTCTCTGCTGTCCTTCCCTGCCCTGTCCTGGGGCTGAGGTGGCACTTTCTGCCCTGCACGGTGCCCGTGGGATGTGCTCGCAGTGCCAAGGGGCCCCTGGCGTGGTGCAGCCCGGTGTTAGCCGGGAGTGCACGCAGCCTGCTCGGAGCCCACGGTGGAGGTCTTGTGCTCTGTGTATCGATTCCCTGCCCCCTGTGCCCGGTCTGTGATGGGTCTGTTTTCCTCTTGTGGCCATTTCTGTGGTATCCGGCCTTCCCTCCTGCCCAGACAAAGGCTTCAGTGTGTCTCGCATCTTCCCCCCATGGGCTCCTGGCTCCGTCCTCCCTTCCCGAGGCCATCCTTCTGCTTGCAGCGTGGCTTCAGCCGCTGCGGAGGCTGCATGCAAAGCAGCTGGCTGGTGCCTCGCGTGGGAAGAAGGGGTGCCCTGAACCAAAAAGGGAGAGGCAAACCCCTTGGGGGGGGGATGGAGGAAGGCATCAGGATCCTGGCTGTGCAGCGTGACCTTGGCCAAGGCCTTCCCGAGATCATTCTGCTTTCCCTCTCCTCTCTCCCAGTGGCAGCCCGTGAGGCTCTGCATCTCGGCTCCCCACTGCCAGGCTTTGCTTCCACCTCGCTCCCCTCGCCTCCGGCAGGGATGCCTTGCTTTTGCCGTGCCCAGCAGCGCTCTGGGCCCTCCTCTCCCATTCCTGGAGCGCAGAGGGTGACCTTGCTTCCCCTGCCAGGTTATTGCCCCCTGCCCTTTGAACCCGGGCCAGGCGCAGGGTGCTGAGCCAGCTGCTGCACCTGTGGCACTGAGGACAGGGTGGAGGCGGCGAGCAGGGCTCCTTCTTCAACCCTGGGCTTCCCTGCACCCCTGGGACCTGCGAGTGGTGGCGATCTCCGCCGAGCTAGGGAGCAAAGAGGGAGCAAAACCTTCCCAGCCTGTGCCACCCGGGCTCTGTCCGGGCAGGGAGGTGACCGAGGTGACGTTCCCTGCCCCGGCAGGGATTGCACAGGCTGAGCACGGATGGCCTTGAAGGCAAGCTCAGCCCCGTGGGCTATGGGATGTGGTGTCTGGGCACCCTGGCATCACTGCTGCCGCTTCCCAAGCCGGGCAGCTGAAGGCTGGTTGCGTTTTTGGGGGCTGGGGGGGAAAGCCCTGTGCCTTTCCCTGGGCTCGAGGGAGGGAGAGGCCGGCCAGGAGCCCCTCGCCGCATGTCGTGCTTGTGTGGTCGGTGTCCCGTGTGCATGGCGAGCCGCGTTTCCTCGGCCCCGTGGGCATGGGGGTGCCCGGGGAGCCCTCACGACGAATAAAAGCCGGGGTGTTATCAGCCGTGTCCGTGTGTCTGTCCGCACCGGGGGGGGATGCTGCGGTGCCAGCAGCACCAGGGCTTGCGCTGCCCAGGGACCAGCGATTCCCTAGGGGGGTGGGATGCTTTTGGGGTGCTTTTGGGGTGCCGGGGGGGGGGCGCACAGGGAGCCTGGAGGTGCGCAGGGCCTGCCATGGTTGCCAAGAGCGGCTGGAAGGAGCTAAATATAAATTCATTTATTTATATCCCGCCCCATCTGTGCCGGGGAGGGGAGAGGGGGGGGCGCACCCCGTCCTGCCCGACCTCTCCCCGGGGGCTATCAGCAGCCCCAGGGCCCGGCTGCCCCAGGAGATAAGAGGGTGGAGAGGGGGGGGAGGAACGGGAACGGGGCGAGGGGAGGGGAAGAAGGGAGGGAAGGAGAGGGGAGGGCCGGGACCGGCGGGGCGGGGAGCGGAGGAGAGGCGGTGCCAGGGCCTGGAGGAGGCAGCGAGGCCCGGGAGGGACACCGGGAGGCGGCGGGGCCGGGGGCAGGTGAACGGGGACGGGACGGGAAGGGACGGGAGGGGACGGGGGGCGGCTGCCCGGGGGGTTGGGGAGGGGTCTTGGGGTTGGGGAGGGCGCACGGCGTGGGCGCACCCCGGGGTACGTCCCCTAAGGGCACCCCAACATCGCCCCGTGTCACCCCCACCCACCCACGGGTCCCTGGTGGCACCCACCCCACACACTGAGCCCCCTTTTCCTCCCCAATTTCTCTCCCCGCAGCCCCCCGCCCGGCGAGGATGGCGCTGCTGGGGGGCTACTGCGAGGGCAATGGCTCGGTGGCGCAGGCGTGGGTGCAGGGGGGCTTCCAGCCCTGCTTCTTCTTCACCCTGGTGCCCACCGTGCTGCTCAGCGTCTGCCTGCTGCTGGGCGCCCTGCAGTACGCCTGCTACCTCCGTTTCGGCCGCGCCATGGAGCCCAAATACATCCCTCGCTCGCCCCTCTACCGTGCCCAAGTCCTGCTGTCCCTGCTGCTGGCCCTGCAGCCCTTCGGGGGGCTGCTGTGGCAAGTAGCGGGGGGCAGGAGGCTGTACGGGTACATGGTGCTGCACGCCTGCCTCTGGGCTCTCAGCTGGGGCTGCGCCGTGGCCCTCCTGCAGCTGGAGCGCAGGCGGGTGCTGGCGCACGACCGCACGCGGGGCCACGGCACCGTCCTCCTCCTCTTCTGGGCGCTGGCCTTCGCCGCCGAGAACCTGGCGCTGGTGTGCTGGAGGAGCCCGCTGTGGTGGTGGGCGCTGGGGGACACCAACCAGAAGGTAAGAGGGCAGGGAAGGGGGTCGGTGGGTGCCCGCCCACCACCCCCCTGGGCCAAACCTCTCCCGTCTCGTGCCCGTCTCAAACCCTTCTCCCCCCAGGTGCAGTTCGGCTTCTGGCTGCTGCGGTACGGCTGCACCTTCCTGCTCTTCGTCCTGGGCATGAAGGCGCCGGGGCTGCCCCACAAGCCCTACATGCTGCTGGTCAACGAGGAGGAGCGGGACGTGGAGAACAGCCAGGTGAGTCCCGGGACGCCGGGAGATCGGGGCTGGTTTTCTTGCTTGGTGACCCCTCTTTCTCTGCGCTCCCCCAGCCGCTGCTGCAGGACGCGGGCAGGAGCGGCTCCACCTGGAAGGATTTTCGGAGGAAGCTGCGGCTGCTGGCGCAGTACATGTGGCCAAAAGGCAACCGCCTGCTGCAGGGGCTGGTGCTCTTCTGCATGGCTCTCATGGGGCTGGAGCGGGCCATCAACGTCTTCGTCCCCATCTACTACAAGAACATCGGTGAGGTGCCCGGGGATGGTTGTCCTGGCTCAGGGACACCCTGTCCCCGCTGTCAGGAGGCTTGGGGGAGTCCCCAATTCAGCCATCACAGAGCAAATCTGGCACACCCCAAGGGATGCTGCATTTTGGGGTGGCCGCCCTCTGCTTCACCGAGTGCTGGGGGGGGACACGAGTGACCCAGGAGGGTGCAGGGACGTGGCAGGAGCTGGGTGCTGGGGCTGGAGCTGGGTGCTGGGGCTGGTTCCCATGGGGCACCCAGCAGTGCTCCCTCCCCCGACACGTGCCAAATTGTCCCCAGTGAATGAGCTGACGGAGGGTGCCCCCTGGCACACCCTGGCCTGGACCGTCTGCATCTACGTGGGGCTGAAATTCCTGCAGGGCGGCGGTGCCGGTAAGAACCGGAGAGACAGCACGGGGACACCGCAGGTTGGGGACCCCATCCCCACCCGTTGCCCCGGTGTCCCCCCTCTGCAGGCTCCACCGGCTTCGTGAGCAACCTGCGCACCTTCCTGTGGGTGTGGGTGCAGCAGTTCACCAACCGGCAGGTGCAGGTGCAGCTTTTCGCCCACCTCCACGGCTTGTCCCTGCGCTGGCACCTGGGTCGCCGCACCGGCGAGGTGCTGCGCAGCGTGGACCGGGGCACCAGCAGCATCAACAGCCTGCTCAGGTCAGAGCCAGCCCGTAACGGTGGCCGGGCTCACCCCTCCGATCGGCCTCGCCTGATGTCCCCTCTGTGTCCCCCCCCTGCAGCTACATCGTCTTCAGCATCGTCCCCACCGTCGCCGACATCGTCATCGGCATCGTTTATTTCACCTCCGTCTTCAGCGCCTGGTTCGGCCTCATCATCTTCGTGTGCATGAGCCTCTACCTGAGTGAGTGTGGTGGGGAAAGAAAAAAGGGGGGTGCCAGGCTGCTGGCCACCCCGCACCGACACGGCCCCTTCCCACCGCAGCTCTGACCATCTTCATCACTGAGTGGAGGACCAAGTACCGGCGGGACATGAACACGCGGGACAACGAGGCCAAGTCCCGGGCCGTGGATTCGCTGCTCAACTTCGAGACGGTGACAACGGAGGGGCGAGGGTGGGTGCTGAGCATCACCCCCCGGCGCTGGGGAGGGTGCTGAGCCCTGCGTCCCGCAGGTGAAGTACTACAACGCCGAGAGCTACGAGGTGAACCGCTTCAACGAGGCCATCGTCAAGTACCAGGTATGGGGTGGAGGGGAAGGAGCTGGGATTTTTGGGCGGTGACGGGGCTTTGCCGTGGTTCGGGGGGGCTCACGGAGCACCTCGCCTCTTGCAGCTCTCCGAGTGGAAGGTGAGCGCCTCGCTGGGCCTCCTCAACCAGACCCAGAACCTGGTCATCGGCATGGGGCTGCTGGCGGGGTCGCTGCTCTGCGCCTACTTCGTCACCGAGAACAAGCTGCAGGTGAGGCCGGGGCCAGCCCTGCCCCGGGGAGGGGGTCCTGCCGCTGGGGGTGACGGCCACGTCTCCTCCCGGCCCTTCCAGGTGGGGGATTTTGTCCTCTTCGGCACCTACATCATCCAGCTCTACACACCGCTCAACTGGTTCGGGACGTACTACAGGTAGTGCTGCCCCCTCCCCGGGAGCGCACGGCGCACGGCGAGCTCCCCAAACCTTCCCCTCCGCTCTTTGCCCCCTTTCCAGGATGATCCAGAACTCCTTCGTGGACATGGAGAACATGTTCGAGCTCTTCCACGAGGAGCAGGAGGTGAGGGGGCTGCACCCCGAGCCCGCTCCCCGGCACGGCCCCGGGTGCTGGGGCCGGTGCTGAGGCCGGGGGGCTCTGCCCGGCAGGTGAAGGACGCGGTGAATGCCGGAGACCTGCGCCTGGAGGCCGGGCGCATCGAGTTTGAGAACGTGCACTTCAGCTACGTGGACGGGTACGGGGCGCTGGGCAGGGCGGGGGTGAAGCCAGCAATGGGATCTGGCACGGGGACGTTGGGGACGGGAGGTGGCCCTGAGCTCTGCTCCCTCTCCCAGGAAGGAAATCCTGCAGGACGTCTCCTTCTCCGTGATGCCTGGGCAGACCCTGGCCCTGGTGAGAGCAGGACCCTGGGATTTGGGGCGAGGAGGTGGCGGGGACTGGGGGGTGAAGGACTGGCCCTAAAGCAGGACAGTCCTTCCTCGCTCAGCCCCTCGCATCCAGCAGCTGTGGGGGGGGGGTCTCTGGTGTCCCCCAAATCCTTTGAGCGCAGGTGGGACCCTCGGGCTCGGGGAAGAGCACCATCATCCGCCTGCTCTTCCGCTTCTACGACGTGCGGGGCGGCTGCATCCGCATCGACGGGCAGGACATCTCCCAGGTGAGCTCTGCAGGGTGGGAAGGGGGCGGCGGGGCACCGGGAATAGGGTCTGAACGAGCCCTTCCCCTCCCACCCCACAACCTCCCCAGGTGAAGCAGGCGTCGCTGCGCACCCACATCGGGGTGGTGCCCCAGGACACGGTGCTCTTCAACGACACCATCGCCAACAACATCCGCTACGGCCGGGTCCTGGCCACCGACGAGGAGGTGCAGGAGGCAGCCCGCGCCGCCGACATCCACGACCGCATCCTCTCCTTCCCCGACGGTGAGACCCCGCGGCCCCCCTTCCCCGCCCTCGTGGCTCACGGGGTGGGCGCTGCTGGCCGTGCTCTGCCTCTCCCTGTAATCCTTTTGGGTCCTGCCCCCGTCTCGGAGGGAGCAGCACGGTTTATTTTTGCCCTTGTGCCCGCAGGGTACAGCACCCAGGTGGGGGAACGGGGGCTGAAGCTGAGCGGGGGGGAGAAGCAGCGCGTGGCCATCGCGCGCACCATCCTGAAGGGCCCCCGCATCATCCTGCTGGATGAGGTAAGGGCAAAGCCTCCCCACCCACTCCTTTTTTTTTGTCCCAGCCGTGCCCTGCAGCAGCCCCCTTTTTGGCAAGCTGCCTCCCGTGGCCATGTCCCTCTCCCCCAGGCCACCTCCGCGCTGGACACGGAGACGGAGAGGAACATCCAGGCCTCCCTGGCCAAGGTGTGCGCCCACCGCACCAGCATCGTCGTGGCGCACAGGTAGGGATGGGGGGAAGGGGCTGATCCAGCTCACAAAGCCCTCCTGCAGCGGGGTGGCAGGATTTCGGAGGGCATGAGGAAGGACAAGCCCCACAGATGTGCCAAAACATCCTCCGGAGCAGCGCATGCTGGTGCTCAGACACCTTTCCTGGCCAGCTTGGGGCATCACCAAGGGTTCCTTGGGCTGGCTGAGGAGGAGCAGGGACTTTCCTCGCCCCCCCCCTGCCAGGACAGCAGCTCCTGGCGCTGTGCAAGCCCCTTTTTACCCCCCCACAGGCTCTCCACCGTGGTGGGCGCAGACCAGATCCTGGTGCTCAAGGACGGGCGGATTGCAGAGCGCGGGAGGTGAGCGAGGGAACCAGGGGGGGCTTGGTGCTGCCTACCCACGGGGACCCCAGCTCTGGGGCTGGCTCGGGAGCCTGCAGCCCCCCCCGTTGTCCCCGCAGGCACGAGGAGCTGCTGCAGAAGGGCGGCGTGTACGCCAGCATGTGGCTGCAGCAGCAGCAGGCTGGGGACGAGGGCGAGAGCAAGGAGCGGCGCACCGAGAAGCCCCCCGGCAGCAAGAAGGGGCCGTGAGGAGGGCCGGGGGCTCCGCTGTGACTCCAAAGCAAGGCTTGGGGTCCCTGTGGTGCCGGGGGACCCCCGCCGGCGGCTGCGGCTCCGTGTGTGTGCCAGGAGCGGCAGGGACTGGCTTGGACACTCCGCTGCGTTTGTACCCGTTTGGTTTGCTGGTGTGCAGCTCCTTAAAATCTGGTCCCTCCCAGCTCCGTGCCTGCGTGCTCTGGGCAAGGTGCCTGCAAGGCTCCCCGGGGCTGGGGGCTGCGCTGCGGGCAGGGATGGGGACAAGGGGGGGGCACCGCCTGTGCCAGGGGGTCCCCGCCAGCACCGAGGGCTGCAGGGAGCAGGGAGCAGTGCAGCCGGTGCCCGCTTTGTCCCCCCGTACTGCCACCCCCACCGCTGTGCCCCCATCCGCCCCCCTCCAGATCGCAGCTCTGAGCCTGCTGCTCCCGCACAGCCACTCTGCGCCTCGTGCTATGCCTTTTATTTTCTCCCGAGCAGCACTTGGACGCCTTTTCAGCGCTCCTGCAGCACCGGGCACAGCCCCACGGGCAGGAGCAGGTCCAGCAGGGAAAGCTGGCGAGGAAGCAGCACGGGGTGGCACCGACCTCCCCCAGGGGGCTGCCAGGACGCGACCCCAACCCGGGGAATCAGCTCCTGCCTGCGGGGCCAGAGGGTGCTGCTGCTCCCGAGGGGATGCCCTGCAGCACGGCTGGGGCTAGAGGAGGGGATGAAGCCCCCCCAGGCCAGCCCTGCCCTCTCCCCACCTCCCCAGCGGTGCCAGGGCACCGGCTGCGGGCTCAGCACCCTCCGTGCACCGCCGCTCGCTTTGGCTAGCGTGCGCCTGGGCTCTCCCCAAGCCTGCCCCTCCAGGGGGTTTGCTGCACCCCCTGCACGCGGGGCTGAGCTGTCCGTGTGCGTTTGGGGAGAGGAGATGGTGCCGGGCTCCTGTCAGCATCCAGGGGGTCCTCACGGCGTCCCCGTGGGAGGCCACGGCTGCCCCCGGTGCCACCACCTCCGCGGGCGCACCTCCTACGACATGCTGCAGTTGGAGGGCTTCGAGCCGTGCGCCTGCGAGGGGAAGGAGCACGGGTGAGGAAGGCAGGACCGGAGTCTTCCTCCAGCCTGCAAGGGGCACGGGCAGAGCTCGAGCCCCCCGCCCTGGAGCAGAACCTGGAGGGTTTGAGGAGCGGGGGGGGATCCCAGGATGGATGGGTCCCGCTCACCTGCCGCTGCAGCTGCTGGTACTCGGCTTCGCTTGCCGACAGCGCCTGTGCCAGTGCCAGGTCCTCCTCCTCCTGCGTGCTGGGGGGGCAGAGGCACAGCGTGGGCCTCGTGCTCCCCCCCCGGGGCAGCAGCAGGCGGCGTGCCCCAGCACTCGCCGTGCTCATCGCCGACCGGCGGTCACGAGCGCATTCCCCCTCCCAGCACCCATGGCACAGAGCTCAGCTCAGCGACAGCTCTGGACTCATCCCTGTGTCCCCCCCCCAGGCCACGCAGTGCCATTGTCACCCCCCCAGCCCCATTGTCACCCCCCCAGCCCCGTGACTCTGGCCCAGCACCGCGTGTCCCCTGCTGTACCTGGGTGGCTGCGCTGTGCCCCGCGCTGACTCCGCCAGGGACAGCTCCAGAGCGCGCTGCAGCGCTTCCTCCTCGCTCTGAAACAAAGCATAGTCTGTCAGCAGGAACCTCCCCCCGAAAAAAAAACACCCCAAAACACCCCAAAAACCCAGCCAGCCCACTCACCAGGCCATTCTGCAGCACGGCAGCTGGCGGGGAGGTGCTGGGGGCCTGGGACGTGGTTGCTCTGCCCCTGTAGATGGGGGAGAAGCTGGGTCAGTGCTGGCACGAGCGGGCACAGGGAGCGGGGAGCTGGCACCGAGCGGGGTTGCCACCAACCCTACCTGGCCGAGGGGCTGTCTGCAGGGCCGGGCAGCTCCACTGCTTGCTGTGCTCGCTGCTTTGGAGGAGGACGCCTGAGCCCTAGCGAGCGCGGCGTGCCTAGGACAGACGGCAGGGTCCGTGAGCGAGCGCCCCGGCACCGCGGGGCACCCCTGGGTGCTGAGCGCCCAGGGCGAGGATGCTGGGTGGGTGATACCCCCTCCCCGGCATCCTCTTCCTCCCAGCCACCCCTGGAGGGGGGTGTTTAGCTCCGGGATGTGCAGCAGTCCCAGAGAAGGGCCCAGGGGCAGGAGGACCTTGGCTTCTCCCCCGTCACCCCGCCGTCCCCGCGCCCTCACCCAGCTTTGGAGAGCGAGTGGCCGGCCCCGCTGCAGTCGTGGTCCAGGGGGTGCCGGTGCTTCAGGCAGTAGTTCTTGTGGCACTGCTCGCAGATCACCTTCATCATCTCCTTCTGCTTGCAGCCGGGCTTCAAGCACTTGTTGGTGAAGATCTGCGAGCGGCGGTGGCGGCGCTGAGGGGGGCTGCCCCTCGGTGCCGCTTTTTGGGGTCTACTGGGGCCCATCTCCTGCTAGGAGCTTTCCTTGGACACTTTTTTTAGGGTGCACCAACGCTTCGGTCCTCAAGGACAAGGCTTGCCTGTGCGCATGGAACAGCACCAGGGCTGCTCCCACACCCACCCTGCCCTTCCTCCAGCCCCGCGTTGCCCCCTAAGAGCTCCCCCAGCCCCGAATTCACCCCCACAAAGCCGTCGGGGGGGGGTTCTTCTGCCCTGGCACTCTCACCTTGCGCTGGCGCTGCGCGGGGTCGGCCTTGCAGTGGCGGTCGATGTGCTCGCCCACCAGCACGTCGGGCATCTCCCCGCGCCTCACGGGCACCGGCGTGTTGCAGAGCGGGCACACGGGGACCTGAACGTCCTGCGGGCGGGGCGAGAAAGGCGTCGGGGGCACGAAGCTTTGGGCGGGACAGGTGGCCACGTCCCGCTGGCTCGTCCCAGGAGGGAGCCGGGCACGGTCCCCGCAAGCCCTCTCCGGGTGTCCCTCTGGTTGTTTTTTGGGGGGGGGGGGTCAGGGAATGAAGGTCGCCCCCTCCTTTTTGCGCTCACCTTCTTGTAGGCGGAGGTGCAGGCGTGCTGGGCGTAGGCGACGTGGTCGGTGCAGAAGATTTGCTGGCAGGCGTCGCACTTGAGGGGCAGGAAATCTGGGGTGGGGGGCGAGGGACGGGGACGCTCAGCTGGCACCGCGCCCCCCCCGCCCCCCACCTCCGCGGCTCCGCTGCGCGCCCCCCTCCCCCAGCCCCGTGTCCCCCCCCTTTTCCCACCCCCTCCATCCTTTCCCATCCCCTCCATCCTCACCCAGGCGCTGGCAGGGGGGCCACGAGCAGTGCTCCCCCAGCTCCGGGAACTCCATGGCGGCCCCGAGTCGTTTCCGTGCCGGCGTCACTCGGGGCGGGGACGCGCCCGGCACCACCCCCGCGCGGTCACGGGGCGGCCCCACGGGGTCCCTGCCTCCTGCCAGCGGTCACCCTACACCCACCCCACCGGGATGCCGCAGGGGGCACCCCCCTACAACCTCCTGTACCCCCCTGTAACCCCTAAGACGCCGCCGGGGGGGTCCTGCCCAGGCTGGGGGGCGCGGTGCCGGGTATCCCCAACCCATCCCCAACCCGCAGCCGGAGGGGGTTTGCGCCACGGGGAGGGCTTCTTCTTGCTTTAAATATTGTGGGGTTCCCCCTTTCCCCTTCTCATCCCCTTCCCCTGTCTCTGCACCCCCCCCAATTCATCCCACCCAGCTCCCGGCTCTCTTCGAGGCGCTTCCGAGCCTGCAGGTGCTGGTGCCGAGGTGGCCGAGGAGCGAGGAAGGTTGGGGAGGGAAAAGGGGAGCTTGGGCAGCCAGCAGGGCCGGGGGTCTGGGCTAGGAGGGACGCACGAGAAGAGGGACGGCGGCTGGAAGAAACTGCAGCACGGAACGGGGCCAGGAGCGAATTTCATTGATTGCCAAAAAAAAAGAAGAAAAAAAAACAACCAACCAAACTCCACAGCCACCCACCCGGTAACACAACTCCGATCCGACGGGGAAAAACAGCGATCGCCCGACACCGTGCTCCAGCAGCGATGTGAAAGGTGCCAGCGGGGTGCAGGAGGGGTTTCTGCTTCACAGCGCCCAGCTGCTTCTGGCCCCTGGCCCCCTGAGAGCCGTGTCTGACGGTGCTCCCCCTCCCTACCTCCCTCCCCCCCCCAAAACTGAACCAACGGGAGTTAAAATTATTTACACTTTCAGCCATTTAAAAACCCAATAAAATAAAAGATTGCATATGTCCTACGGGGGATCTGGGTGTTAGCAGCAGCTACAGCTAGCTCGGTACTCTGCGTGCAAAAACGAAAAGACAAAACAGAAGACAGACCAAAATACTGCACCATTACTAGGAAGCGTTGGCTGGGGTTGGTGTTTCCATCGTGGCGTAAGGCTTCTAGGAGCCGGCTCCCCCCCTGGCCGCGGGGCAGGGGTGGCTCCCGCTCAGCCAGCGCAGAGGCCGGGCTCTAGAAGGATGGGAAGGATTCGTTATTCCAGACACAAGCACATTAACACTGACGCGTTTCCAGCCCGGTCAACACAAAACACCGAAAACCCGCTGCGCGTTGGCCACGTGAGCTCTTCCTTCTTTCCAGTGACGACGGAGATAAAGGGGACGCGTGAAGGAGACCTAAGACGTAGACGCTGCTGGCATCGCTGCCTCCTCCTCGTCTCCTTGCTTTGGCAGCTCAGCGGGTGCGGGAGAGGGGGAAGCCGGAGCCGGAGCAGCAGGAGACTCTTCAGCTTCCTGCTCCTCCCCAAGCCCCAGCTCCACATCCATTTGCTCCAGCTCCCTCTGATCCAGCAGCTCAAAGTCTTCCGCTTCCTCCTCCTCCTCCGGTGAAGCTGCGGTCTCTGTCTCCACCGCTTCGCTCTCCGACAGCTGCGCTTGGAAGCTCAGTTTCTCTTCGGGCTCAGTGGGGAGGAACTCAGAGAGGGAGGGCCCCTCGCTGGCCTCCGAGGAGCGCAGCAGGGCGGAGAGGGTGTTCTGCACCGCCGTGGTAATGGCAGTGGTGACGATCTCCTCGCTCAGCGTGTCGATGCAGATGCCCAGGCCCGGCGCAGGGACAGTCTCGGGCTCCCCGTCGCCTCCTGCCGCTTGCCCGCTCCCGTTGAAGTGCGTATTTACAAAATGGAGAGGAGACGCGAGGCGAAGGATGGAGAGGTCAGAGTCCGCAGCCTCCTTCTCTGCCGAGTCCAGCTCACGGGCAGCGTGGGCAAGCTCGGGACCCAGAGGCACACCGAATGCATCTTCATCGCTCTGTGGTCCCAGATCTCTGGAATGATATTCTTCCACGGAGGGAAACTCTGCCAGGTCCTTGGAAAACGACTCCTCTGGCTCGCTGTGCAGACTCTGCTGATCCAGGTCTGGAAGGCAGCGGCATTAAGATCAGCATTAAGGCACGGGTCACCTTGCCTTGACCCAGAGCACTGACATTGCCCATCTACCTTCTCCCTGCTGACACGCTAGGGCTTGCTTTTGAGCCTTCTCCCAGCTCTGGGAGCACAGCAGGAAGGCGCCTGCAGTTATTCCCTGCTCCTAGTGGCACAACTCACCTGCAGCCTTCTCTTTTTTTTCGATCTGTGCCCAGAGAAGACCAGCTTCCCCAGCTCACGCTCTGCACCCAGAGCACTCCACTAAAACCCATGGGCTCAGGGAAATCCCCCTGCAAGCAGCTGGGTTCTCTCCCTGTCCTCCCATTCAGAGGAGCAGTTGTTGTGGGACAGGACACCCAGGGGAAGGGAGGCAGCAAAATGTCCCATCATATACCTTCCGAAACATCCGTCAGCTGTGGGGTGGTAGCCCTTGAGACAGAAAAGCCCCCGCTCTCCAGGATGGAAGCCTCCTCATCAGAGAGCTCAGAATCTGTGATCGACAGTGCCAGGGCAGTTTTCTTCACATCCACCTGCATGGGATGAAAGAGGAAGAAGTTCCTGGATGTCTGACTCCACGCAGAGCTTCCAGGGAGGTTTTTTTTTTTTGGCTTTTGCTGGAGACTGTGCAGGGACAGGATGATAGCAGGAGGGATCTGGGCAAAGTGCTCACTGCATTGCCAGCAAAGGTTAGCCTTAAATCACCGGCTTTCCTGCAATAATTTATTGCCTGAAGCTTTGCTGGCTCTCAGTGAAGAGCCTGAAAGAGCCGGAACAAGATGGGATCATCCTGCAGGAGTATCAGAAGGCTCGAATCCTTCTCATGCCAATGCCAAAGAGCAAAATCCCCCTTCCCTCTTACTTTCACACTAGGCCCAAAGAAGTCTTCCACATGTAGCAGTGGCTCAAGTATCTGCATCATTTTGGAAGCCAGTTTCCCACCTCACAGCCCCAGCTCCAAGCCCAGAACTCCTGCAAAGGCAGACACTGGGCCCATCGCTGTGGTGCACGCATAGAAGGGTCTCCCTTGGGATTCTTCAAAGTGATTTCTTGCTCTGCTCTTTAGCAGTGTGGCTGCAGTCGCACCACGCCCTGGTCCTCAAGCTACAACAGCCCAGAGAGGAGGGATTGGTTCCTGCATAGCTCTGCTGTGCTCTTACCACTGGGGAGAAGCCTGAGAGCTCTGCCTCACTCTCACTCTCCGTCTCTGCCGTTGGCTCATCACCTGCTGCAGGCTCACTCTTCCCTTGGCGCTCTACGAGGAAAAGAAGAAAGGCTTGCCAGGAGACTGAAAGAATTTTCTGTACATCACTCATCCACTACTTCTCTGCAAAACCACGCAGGTTTCCCAGAATCTAAGAGTTCCTAGAAACAATTACAATCTGCTGCTCTAGTCTGCTGTTCCCAGGACAACAGGCACTTACCCACCCAGCTACTCTCCCCCAGACCCTCAGGTTTCAGCCTGTTTTCCCCTGCTCTGTCGCAGCCTTTCGACACAAACTGTTGTCAAACATGCTCTTGGGCTCCACCCTGGGAGCACAGGGCCAGCAGGAGTCAGAGGGAAGGTGAGTCCTTACTCTTCTTCTCGTGCTTGTGGTGCAGCGTCTCTGCCTTCATACTGTAGTCCAGTTTCATCAGGACAGGCTCCAATCGCGTGTACATCCTCTGGATCAGCTCGTGATAGACCACCAACGGCCAGAGAAGAATGCTGAGCACTGCAAACACAGGAGGCAGGGAGTGGGAAACAGACCGAGCACAACGCAGCAAATTCACAGGGCGCCAGCAACTCTGCATCAAGGGACGGGCAGTTGAAAGGGATCCGCTCTCCATCTGACTGCCTAAAATCCTCACCCTTGGCTGTTCTTACTCGTTCCAACGCAGCTTAATTAGACAGGTTTTCTTAACCAATCAATTTTGTTGAGGTGAAGCACAAGCCCTCCACTTCAGCCACTGTGTCACAGCCCAAACGTGCAACAAAGGCCCAGAAATTGGGCGTTTACAACTAAAAATCACCGAAACCTTTAGAAGGGGAGCAGCACAGAGCTCAAATCTAGATGCGCTAGCAGCAGAGCACCTGAGCCATCTTCACAGTTAGCAGGGAATGATAATGCAGGTAAAAAAGCCCTAATTGCTAACCATGCAGTTTCTTTAATAACTCAATATGGATTTGCCCACTCTAGGAAATGAGAGACTGCAGCTCTCTGCTCCTCTGGGACCTCAGCAGCACAGCCCCACGGGTAGAAGAGGAAAGCAACGTTTTAATGGTGCTCCCTCTCCTGCCTTTGCAGCTGTACTGCACGCACACACCTACAGGGAGACTTCCCAGAGCTCCCTGCTCGTATTGATTTGTCATCTAGCGCAGATGCCCCCAGGAAAACCACATGAGTGTTTCTACCGGTGAATCAACAGCACGGTTGGGTCACGTTTCAGCTTAAGTCACAAGGGAGAGCTGCTTATACTCACAAATGATGTAGGAGATCATGATGCCTGGAACATAGTGTCCAACGACAGCCAGAATCAGGCAGCCCGAACAGACGCTCATGCAGAACTGAAGGAAGAGAGGAACAAAGAGAAATGACAAGAGGCAGAGACACATCTAGGCAGCCAGCGCAGGAAACCCAGCTGGAGCAAAGAGAGGGATGGCTCCTCACAAAGTCAGCACACCTGCCCTCCCCTCCCAGCCCTGCCAAAAGCAGTTAAAACTGTTTGTTTTCTTGCCCAGCCTTGCAGTGAGTGCTCTCACAAAGCAATAAGGAAGTTTGTTTATAACGGAGAGGCCCTACAAAAGCTAGGGCCCTCTAAGGGCTTTGCTCCCTATGGTCGTAGTCCCCTGCCAGCTGTTGTAGGGACGGGGTTTTAACAGCAGAGCAATCAGCAGAGACAAAAACCCACTCCTGGCGCGCTGGACCCCAGTAAGCTCGACATAATCCTCGTGGCTCATCCGTCCTATTTCTGTGCTACGGTAACTCTTGTCTACAAACCTGTTCCAAACAACACGTCACAGCCACCAGAGCTCATGACGAGTTTCCATGCACTCAGGAGCAGTGCTGCATGTGGGCTTGGCTAGCTACAACCTGCCAAACAGGTAGGAGCAGCCTAAAGGGTCGAGTGGAGCCTACGAGAGAGGCAGAGCCTGGAGAAGGAGCCCCTTTCTTCTTCCTACTCCCAATCTAAGAGCTTTCTCTGCACGCTAAGGAATAAAAACACCTATAGTTA